TTGGTTGAGTGTCATCTTGTGCACCAAAGGGTCACAGGTTCGATCCTCATCAGGGCACATACCTGGGGTTGTGGGTTCGATTTCCCCTTGGGATATGTACTAGAGTCAACCAGTCGATGTTTCTCACGTCGATGTCTCTCTTTCTCTCTAAAATCAATTAAACGTATATATATATTTTTATCCTCACCCAAGGACATTTTTGCATTCATCCTCAAATAGAGCAAGAGGGAGAGAGGGGGGAAGAGAGAGAGAGAGAAACATCGACGTGAGAGACACATCGACTGGTCACCACCCACACGACCCCAACTGGGGCCGAGGACAAATTGCAACCGAAGTACGTGCCCTTAGTGGGAACCGAATCTGGGACTCTCTAGTTTGCCAGCTGATGCTCCAGCTGCTGAACCAAACTGGCCAGGGTTCAATTAAACAAACGTATTTTAAAAATAAATAAATAAATAAACTGTCTGATTTAGAGACTTTCTGTGAAACTGGTCAGAGTGGTATTGGCATAGGAGAGATGACTAAGTTGGTGGAACAGATCAGAGAATTCTAAAATAGCCTGGATGTCTGTGGCCGGTTGGTTGTGTCAAAGGGATGTCAGCTGTCCAGTGGCGGAAAGGGAGTTTTCAACAATTCATTCTGAAACACCTGGATATCCTGTGGGAAAAAACGAACCTCAATCTCCACCTCACACCACACACGAAAATTAATTTGAGATGGATCAGAGGCCAACATAAATGCTGAAACTAGCATTTCTTAGGAGGAAATCCCTTGCAGACTGGAAGAATGCAAAGATTTCTTACCCAAGACACAGGATTCCTTAGGACACAGGACAGTCAGCACACCACAGAAGAAACATTTGCGAAATAATGAAAGATGAATTCTAACCAAAAGAACAAAATGTAGCCTTGTGATTGATGTGAAAACTGGCCAGCCTAGGATCAAAGTGTGTGTGTGGACAGACAGGTTTGACGGGAGGGCAGGAAGATGCCTTGTTTGGAACTGAATGCTTTGTCTGCATGTGAATAGACAAGGTTTGCATGACAAAGGGTTGGAAGACCACCTCCAGAGGATAATGGGCATGGAAGCCCAGGTGAAGGTGGATTTGTTATTATTTTTTTTTATTTTTGAGGGCTTGGCTGTATGGTCAGCAGAGGCACCATCTCAAGGAAATTATTTATTTATTTATTTTTTATCCTCACCCGAGGAAATTTTTCCATTTTTTGTTCAGATAGAGCGGGAGGGAGAGAGAGGAAGAGAGAGAGAGAGAAACATCGACGTGAAGGGACACATCGAGTGGCTGCCACCCGCACGACCAACCAGGGCCGGGGACAAACTGCAACCGAGGTACATGCCCTTAGCGGGAACCGATCCCGGGTCTCTCTGTACCACAGGCCGACACTCCAACCGCTGAGCCAAACCGGCCAGGGCTCAAGGAAATAATTTACCTAAATGAACATGTAACCTGGGGAACCACTCTGCAAATAAATTGGCTGGGTCCAGAGATCTGGAGCATTTACTCCCTTGCGAGGCTCCCCCTCACTCTTACCAGCATGTGCTTGTAGTTCATTGTGTTGCACCGACCCGCAGCAGGCCCAGCACCGCAAGTCCGAGGAAGAATCCACAGCGCCGTCAGCTGCTGTCCGGGAAGCTGAAGGTGACGGTTCACTAGACCAGCAACAACTGGGGCCGGGGGAACCAGGAACGGGGGAACTCCTGCACCAGGCCACTAGGATGCACACACTGTGTCCACGCTGGAAAAATATGCCTCCCCTCCGACCAGCAGTTCCACTCCCGGGGGCATTTCATTTCCAAGGGAGGAAAGAGCATTAATGTACACACACATGCGCACACACGTGCTCTAGCAGCTTTCATTTACAATGACCTAAACACGGAGGCAACCGAATGTTCACCGAGAGGAGACGGGTGACAAGCGGCAAGTCCCTGCGGTGGGTTAGCCCTCGGCTGTAACGCCGGATGGCCGTGTGGGCAGCTCGGGTGGATCGAGATGGGATGTCGGGGGAAGGAAGGCGGCAGAATGACCGAAACACACGATGCTGTTGTTAGGACCTTCAGGACAGACAGAAGTAGCCCCTGGTGAGGAGCGGCCAGGAGGGCAGTCCGGGGGGCGCAGGGGACTGCTCGGGAAGGAGAGGAACGCTCAGGGGAGACGAGGTTCCGTACGACGCGGTTGTGAGTTACGCGGGTGTCCGTTCGTCCCAGTGGGGTGGCTAAGGCTGCATCAGTCTGTAGACACCGTAGCCAAGAAAGCGGTGAGATGCCCGTGTCAGGCGTTCTGCCCGGAGGTGCCCCAGGGAGGGGGGTGTTTGCCCAGATCGGGGTGACGGTTCTCACTTACAGGTGATGCCAGGAAGAGGGAGGTGAAGGGACTCGACCCCTCGGACACTTGTCCAGGACCCAGGGGTCCACAGGGCTTCTCCACCCCTCCAGCCTTCCCTGTCTGCTCCTCCCTAAAATGCCACAGCTCCGCCCTGGGCGCGCAGCGGGGCAGGTGCCTGCCGCACCCCACCTCTGTAGACCACTTCTGGGGTTCCTCCGGACCCCCCAGTGCCGACTTCAGCGCTCAGGCCCCCCCAAGTACTCATCGATGGGAATCGTGGTGGCCAGTGCGCGTGGGGGGAGGCAGCCGGCGGGAATGTGTCCCCAGAAGGTCCCCGCAATCTGGCCAGCCCCCCGCATGGCGCTCCGGGCTTTCCCATCCACACAGCGAGAGCCGTGGGCTCGGGGAGCGGGGGGCGAGGAGGTGGCAGCTCGCGCACCGAGCCCAGTGGCGGGGCTCACCGAGGTCTTTGCCGAGTGTGCTGGGACCGATTAGAAGGCTCCCCGCCGTGGGGTGAGGGGCTCCCGCACTGGCCGCCTGGTGTCTGTGCCAGAGGACCTGGAGGCCCCTTTCTGGACCTGCGTGCCCTAATTTTATTTGTTTCATTTGTTCTTAAAGTGTTTGTCAGGGTCCCCACCCCCCTTCCCTCCACGGGCCCACGAGAGCGAGGCTGTCTCCGGACGGACGGCGTGAGTGGCTCTGCTTCTGCCTGAGCAGCTGGAGCCCCCCGTCTGTCCCCTTCACGCTGTCACCGTCGTAGACACGGGCCTGTCACCAGGCTGGCTCCCTGTGCGATAGCGGCCTGGCGGCACCTGAAGGGCCTTGTCGGACCCCCAGGAACCAGTGAGCAGGGCTGAGGGAGCCGTTTCCTCTGGAGACAGCTCTGGAGAGACGGAGGCGACTTGTTCAGCACAAGTGGGGCTGCCAGGCCGGCCCGCGGGGCACAGAGATGGGAAGAGAACCCCGAGTCACAGATACTCTCCCTGCCCTCATTCCTGACACGAAGGTCTCAGCACAGACCTCCGGGTGAGCCCAGGCCGGCCCGCGGGGCACAGAGGTGGGAAGAGAACCCCGAGTCACAGATGCTCTCCCCGCCCTCATTCCTGACCGGAGGTCTCAGCACAGACCTCCGCGCAGCCCCGGGTGAGCCCAGGACAGCCCGCGTCCTGGAGGGCGGCGGCTGAGGAGGGCTGGGCCGGGTCCCCGGCCGCGCTCCACTCCCCGCCTGCTCTGGAGTCTGTGTCGCCACCTGGAACAGGCTCAGATCTCTCAGCCTCCACGGGTGTGTGAGGTTAAAACACAGAAGTGTGTTCCAAGCCCTGGACTCAGGGTGGGGGCTTGCGCCTGCTGGCTCCGTGCAGGGCGCCCCATCTTTCATCCTCGGCAAACTCCTGTGCCCTCGTACCTGGCGTGGTGCAGACAGTACCCAGAAGCAGCTCCCTCTCCTTGCCTGCTCAGCCAGCCCTGTGGGTCACCACTCCCAATGCCCCTGCCCAGCACACTGCAGCCACAGGGGAGGCACCCAGGGCTTTGGGGAGCCCCCTCTGACGGCACAAGCCTTCCCACTCCCATTTTGAGGGCTCCCTACCATCTCCACCCCAGGCCTCCCCAGCCCATAGAATGACAGCTAATGTAAAAAGCTAGGTTGGGAGGGGGCCAGGAGCCCATTCATTGAGCTGCTGGGAGTCATTTCTGCTCTCTCCCCTATCTGCCCGAATTGTGGCTGCCCCGTGGGGTGGGATGGGGCATGCTCCCCACATTTCGGTCCCTTCTGGAAGCAGACTTAGCCGGGCCCTGCTTGGAGGCCAGGCTGAGGTGTGTCCTCCCACAGAGAGCCTAGGGAAGGTGGGGCAGGCCTGAGCCTCCAGGTGAGCTGGCATCTGGGCACAGCCTGCCCCTAGGAGGGACCCGTAGCTGGCTGAAGGGCTGGTGGGGTCCGCGGCTGCTCCTGGCCCATGGGAACTGCTGGGTGGCTGGGTCGGCTCATTTGCTGATTTGGTGAACCGTTTGCTGAGCACCTGCTGTGTGTCAGGTATGGCGAACAGAAGGGATTACGAAGTTGGGTTTTGTCCAGGGAAGAGACAGCCTCATCCACGGTCACTTATAGATAACTGGAGATGCAGCGAGGGAGAGTCCCGGATCGCAGACTGGGTGGGGATCCTGGAAGGCCTCTTGGAGGAGGTGTCCTGTGAGCTGAGTCTCACAGGGCTGAGGTGGTAACTGGGAGTAGAGTCAGGGCATGACCACGAGTGGAGATGAAGGTCTGTTGACTTATGGGTGGTAATTTCCTTGGCACTTGTCTGGGGAGGCGCATCCGGACTCGGGTCCCTCCTCACCGTGTGAGCTTTGCACCTCGACCTTCCCACGGGGCTGAGCACTCGGCTCCAGGTCGCAGTGTGGACTGTGGCCGCGCCGTTGGAAGATCCTGCTGAGGGTGCCACCCCGGGGCCTCCAGCGTTTGCTGAAGGGCTGGAGAATTGGGGGCTTTGTCACAGTAGGTCCTTCTGAGGTCCGCTGCCTGATTTAGACTCACAGACACATGGGAGGCAGGGGCCCAGCCCATTTCATAGACCAGGAGACTGAGGCCGAGAGGGAGGGGGCGTGGTGGCCCCGATGCCTCTCCCCTCGCTGAGCCCCGTCCTGACCGCTCTCCCCGCAGTGAGCATGACCTGGGTGAGGACATCTACGACTGCGTCCCGTGTGAGGATGAAGGGGACGACATCTACGAGGACATCATCAAGGTGGAGGTGCAGCAGCCCATGGTGAGCAGCCGCCGCGCCCGCCCGCCCGCCCGCCGGGCGTTCAGACTGGGCAGGGCGCTCGGGCCCTTCGAGGGAAACAGCCGGCCGGGGCCGGGCCACCGAGGGAGAGCTGGTCCCGAGCAGGGGGGACTCCGGAGGCTGCACGCGCCCTCCCCCTCCTGGGCTCAGCCCGTGGTGGCCCTTCGTCCCTGCCGTCTCCTTAGGAGACCGGGAGGTGACACCGCCGTCATTACGACCTTCCACGATGCGTTGCCATGGAATTCTCCTCCGAGGTGGGCTCTAAGTCCTTCCTGCCCAGGGGCCGGCAGCCGGAGCTCAGTGTCCGAAGCACGCGTCCCTCTCCCACGCCCCGTCTCCCACGCCGCCCCCGTTGCCAGCACGGAGGGCCCGCTCCCGTCCCGGTGAGCCAGCTCTGGTCTTCACGCCGCAAGGGCACTTGCTTCCGGGCGGACGTCGGCTCCGTCTCTCGGACGCCAGTTGGCCCCGTGTGGGTTTGCTGGCCACAGCTCCGGCCGGGCTGGGGAGACGAGCACCTGGCGGGATGGGCTCCAGCCCTCTTGGGCCCCCAAACCCTCGGGGGTAGTCGAGGTGCCGTTTGCCGACTCGGGAGGCTTTGGATGCCGATTGCTTTCACCGAGGAAATGGGGGGATTTCTGAAAAAGCGCATCTCAGCGTTGTCCTTCCCGGGGGAGCAAGCGGTGCTCGTAGCCCCCAGACTCTGCTCCTAAGAACGGGTGTCCGTTTGGCCTGGAGGGGTGTGAAGATGGGTCAGCGGGGGGCTGTGACCACAGGCCTGCCTCGGGCGACCCTGCCCTCCCTGGGCAGCCCTGCAGTGGGGCGGCTGCCCCTGGACCTTCCGGGGGTGTGAACGGCTGGAAGGCCCCCCCCGCCCTGCTGCGGGAGGTTCCTGCCGTGCCCCCAGCTGCCCTGGAGCCGGGCCCCTCGCTCCTCAAGCGCTTTGGAAGCTGGGTGTCCTCTGCGTGGAGTGTGTGTGCAGTGGCCTGTGTTATCTGGAGGGACCCTTGACCCCAGGCCATGCAAGCTGCCGAGAGAGCCCGCTGTGTGCCCGCTGTGTGCCCGGCCTGCAGAGACTGCAGGGGGCCCTCCCCGAGCTCTCTGCTGTCCTTGGTCCTGAAGCACACAGGGCCTGTGGGGGTGGGCAGAGGCCCACCTGTATCCGGGGGACAAGCTGCACCCCCTGTCCAGCTCAGTGTCCTAACACGTGGCTCTGGTGTTGGCGACCTGCCGTGTCCTTGCAGGCAGGGTGGGCCTCCTGCCGTGTCCTCTGAGATGACACTGGTTTCGTATCATCCCTGTCAGTCTGGAGCCCTCTCGGCGGTCTAAGTGGGAGGTGGTGGGGACGGTGACCTTTGCAAAGGAAGGTAAAGCCAGGGGATGGCAGGTGTCCCTCTCAGAGCCCAGATGTGGGTTGGCCAGCGGCATGCTCAGTCCGGTGCTGTCCCCCTCACCAGCCAGCCGGCAGGGCACCCCGAGGCTGTTGGCTAAATGCACGCGAGCCTCCCCGACCTCCCCACGCACAGCGTGGATAACGGCCGGCGCTGCTAATTGGGTCTCTCTGTCCTTTGTTTTCCATGCTCCCAGATTAGGTACATGCAGGTAAGCACTGCCCGCCACCCTGGGAGAGGTCGGGCACCATCTTTAGTTCTAGGGGGATCATGGACCCTTAGCACCCCATGAAGCCCTGAGGGGAACAGTGCAGCCCACAGGCCGAGCAGAGCTAATGCCGGAGGGAGCCTGGGGGCTCCTGCCAGCGCTGCCCCCCCCCCACCCGGGCAGGGCTCTGGGCGTTTCTCAGAGGAGGATGGGGTTAGGTCCCAACGTCATGTCACCGTCCCAGCTCCGTTCCCCAGGGCCTTGCCCAGGGAGCTGTGGCTCAGCCCGGAGGACCCGAGGAGGGGGCCTGCCTCTGCACAGCCCCCCGCCGGCCTCTTCCCGGTCCCCAGAGGTGAGGGGCAGGCCCCACCACGGAGGTGTGTCCCAGGGACCACTGCCGTCCAGGGCCCTGGTTGGAGTCCAGCCCTGGGAGGAATCGCTGTCTTTCTCTGAGACCCTGCCAACCGGCGACGCTGGGGCGGCCGCTGAGCTGTGCCCGTGGGCGCTCGCGCTGTGCGTGCGGGAGGGCAGCTTGTGAGGGCCTCGCCCCGGCCTGGAGGCTTCCCTCCTGGGCACTGTCGCCAGGCCTCAGGCTCACGCCCCCCACGTGCCTGTCTCCTCATCTGCAAAAGGGAGGAGAGGCCTTGGGCCCCTTCGGTCCCCCATCCGGCCCCACCACGGCCAAGGCGCAGGCGGCGGGCGTCCTGGCTCACGCTGTGTGTCGTTGTCCAGAAAATGGGCATGACGGAGGACGACAAGAGGAACTGCTGTTTGCTGGAGATCCAGGAGACCGAGGCCAAGTACTACCGGACCCTGGAGGACATCGAGAAGGTGGGCGGCCGCCGTTCCTGTGGCCTGTGACGGACGAGGGCTCCGTGGTCCTCCCGGCTTTGCCATCAGGCACCCTGCCCACTGCCAGTGCTGAGCGGGGTGGGGAGCCAACGTCATGTTTCAGAGGGCACCTCCTGGCTGTCCTTGGGTTGTGGGTAGAGCCCAGTGTGGCCATGAAGGGAGCACCTGAGGGGCCCTCCACTGTTGAGGGCACTGTGGCCTCCAGCCGGCAGTCCTGATGTCCCTGGGCCCCCGGTCTAGCTCAGGCCTCCGACTGACGGCCCCTCCTCCTGCCCCAGCCACCCCTTGTGTGCCTGTCCTCCAGCCCACTGACCACACCAGCTGCCCACCCTGGCCTCACATTCTGCCTCCCTGTCCCCCGCAGTCCCCTCCTCCTGTGAGTCCAGCTCCCAGGTCAGCGCCTCTCAGGGCCCTCAGAGTCCTGCTACCGAGAGCTGGCGGCGCTGTGTCCCGTGTCCTCCCCTGCCTCGGCCTTTGAGGGCAGGGCCGCCCACGCGCGGTGTGGCCGGGTGACGTCGAGGGCTGAGCACGGTGGGGTCTCAGAGGGCTTGTCCTCGGCACAGGGAGAACCGCTTGGACCCCAGCATTGTCCATTCAGGTGGTTCTCTCTGCTGCACGCCGCGGCGAGGGGCCAGCCCCTTGGGGAGACGGCCGGGCCGGGAGGACTGGGGACAGCACTTGGTGCCCCTGGGCGTGGGGGCATCTTTTGCTGGCAGGTTGAACAGCACACCCAGGAACGAGGCCCAGGAATCTGAGTGTTGGGTGGGGACTGGCGCCCCGTCAACATCCAAAAGTGTAGGCAGGGTGAGGCCCCTCACCTCCCAAGCCTCAGTTTCCTCAAATGTCTCAAACAACCATGGCAATGCTCGCCTTGGTTGCTGAGGGGCCCCCTTGGGGCTCTGCCCACATAGCAGGTGTGGGTGCTTGGTCAGCGCTCAGGCCCGATCCTGGCCGGCCCCACACAGGGCGGGGTCCGGGTCTCCCAGAATGCTCCCCAGTGGGCACGGGCCGGCTGCCAGGCCTGCAAAGCCACCTGCAGGGGGCCCCCGCCCCTGGCAGGGCCGGCAGAGGCCCTGTGACCGCGCTGAGCCGGCAGCGTTGTGTTCTCTCCCCCAGAACTACATGGGCCCCCTGAGGCTGGTGCTGAGCCCGGCGGACATGGCGGCCGTCTTCGTCAACCTGGAGGTAAGGACCCAGCCTGTCCCGGGTCCCAGAGCGCTGCGTCCCTGCCGGGGGCACAGTTGGTCCTGGCTCAGGGGCGTGTTTATGGCTGACAGATGAGTGGAGGTCGGCCTGCTCTTGCCTCTGGGGACTTGGGATTTCGGGGCCGGGAGGACGCCGGTCAGGGAGCTGCTGGCGTGGCTCAGACGAACACGCCCGGGAAGACGGGCGAGGCCTCATCAGCAGCTGGAGAGACGTGTGTCCCCGACCCTGGAGCAGGGCCGCTCCCCCTCTGCGGGGTCTGCGTGCAGACCAGGAAGGCGTCCCTGTGGGACGGTCCATGAGGCTGCACAGGCCGCCATGGGGAGCTTCCTTTACTCTGCCTGGCGTCCACGGGGTGCCCCTGCCCGTCCCCTCAGCCCCTCGTCTGCTCGAGGGCTGGGCTCTGGTCACCCCCGGGCTTGGCTGGTGCAGACCTCGGAGCTTCCCGCTCTGTGTCCCTGAACCAGTTTATCCTCCAGGGGTGGTGACCACGAGACCAACGAGTCACAGTGGGAGCCCTCGTGGGGGCGTCTGGGGGCCCTGGCCGCTGTGCCAGTCACCTGTCTGCCCCGAAACCTGGGAGAGCCCCCTCCCCAGGCCCGAGGCCCCCGCTCCACAGCCAGGGAGCTTCACCCTTCAGAGCCTGGGACCCCAGGCCTCCGCTGACCCGTTTGGGCACGAGCCTCCCTGGGGTTGGCCACATGTGTCTGGACAGGCAGACGTGGCCGTGGACGCTCCCCGAGGCGCCCAGGGGACATCACTCGGGTCTCCTCGTGGGCTCGTCACTGGAGCAGCCCCTAGCAGGGTTGCACCCTCCGTTTCCGTGGGAGCGCGATCGGGGACCGCGGGCCCTTCTGGCCCGGCGTGCCTGTGCGTAGGCTGCTGTTTCCTCCCAGGACCTGATCAAGGTGCATCACAGCTTCCTGAGGGCCATCGACGTGGCCATGATGGCTGGGGGCGGCAGTCTGGCCAAGATCTTCCTCGAGTTCAAGGAGAGGTGAGTGGAGGCCCCTCCCCGGGCACCTCTGTGGGCCACCCCGGGACAGTGCGGGGCCGGCGGGCGCTTCACCAGGTGGGAGCCCTCGCTGTGGGCTGTGGGCCCGAGGTGGTGACTGTGCCCCTCTGGACCCGGAGGACTCGTGAGGTGGGGAAGCTGCCCACCTCCCCCATCACAGCCCAGGGGGCCCCTCTGGGCGCAGCCGGGTGGGAGGGGCCTCGCTTCTCCCTCTCCTCTTTGCTGGGGGTCTTACTGGCTGAAGGACGATGGCGCCGGGCACCTGGGAGAGTCAGCCCCGGTGGCGGGGGGGGGGCTGCTGCCCCCGGAAGACAGGCTGCCCTAGGCAGGTCGGGGTGCAGGGCTTCGGGGACTCGTGGGCAGGAGGACGTGACTGAGAGCCTGGCTCCAGAGTCCCCGCAGCTCAGACCACTTCCCTGCTGTTGGGTAAACTGAGGCCAGGCCTGTGCCTCTGACACGGCTGGCCCCGCCCTGTGGACTGCTGTGGCCTGGCGGGGAGGGGCTGGGCCTGGGGAGCAGTGCTGTGGTCACCGGTGCTCGGCTGTCCTGGCATAAATGAGCCCCGGCCTTTCTGGGGGCCCCTGGCTCCGGGGAGGCGGGGAGCTTCTCTCTTCTGCTTTGCCCTTTTGAGGGGTGGATGGGGGGTACCACACCTTCAACCCTGGAAGGGAACCACGGAAAGGGGCCTCCTTGGGTTTGGGAGGAGTGGGGTGCCCCTCTTCCCTAACACTTTGGCAACCCCCTCGGAGCCCAGCTATGACTTTGGGACAGGGAGGAAACAGCACACGGCAGGAAAACCAGTACACGTGTTAGCACGTGTTAGCACGTGAGGAGCGGTCGGGCGAGACCCACGCACAGCTGCCCCGATGAGAGGTGGCTCGTGGCAGTGGCTCCCTGAGCCTGCGTGTGCACGCGTGTGCCTGCATGTCTGCGTGTGCCCGTGCAGGCTCCTGATCTACGGGGAGTACTGCAGCCACATGGAACACGCCCAGAACACGCTGAACCAGCTCCTCGCCAGCCGGGAAGACTTCAGACTGAAAGTCGAGGTAACGGCGGCTCCCGGCCTGGCCCGGCTCCCCCGCCCGGCCCTCTGAGTCCGCAGCCCGAGGGCCTCCTGTGTGCCCATTCTGTGGGGAGGCGGGACAGGTAGTGATAGGACTTTTTTGCAGGTGATTTTTTCTCCTTTTTGGGGTGGGGAGTGGGCAGGCGGAGGTCACGGTCCCAGGCCAGAGCACAGCTTGAGTCCCTTGGGTGCAGTTGAAGTAGGCCCCAAGGACCACATCTGGCTCAGCGAGGGTCTGTGACTGACCCGTGTGACCCTGGCCTGCCGGACCCCACAGGAGCCCCAGGAGACGGATGTTTGGGGGAGCTGTGGAGTCTCCCACCACCCTCCTGTCCTCACCCAGGCTCAGGGCCAGGCTCCGGTCGGGTTGCCCCTCTCAGCACCCCTCCTTGGTCCCTGCCTTGGGGTCAGCGGCTGCTCCCCAGGCGGGGTTCCCGTGTCAGAGTGGCCCCTGCCTGGGTCCTGGCGCAGGGTCCCTTGGCTCTGGCAGTGCTAACTGGGGCCCCCCGGAGACTCAGGTGCCCCAGTATGTCCGGGCAACTAGTGTGGAGCCCCTAGTTCTGCAGGTGGTCCCCCTTCGCGTTAGCTAGCTTCCCCAGGGGTGCTGAGGTGGGCCCAGCGGGCGCCAGCCCAGAGCCCCAGAGTCCTCCTGTGCACTGCACCCCCTGAAGCTGTGCGAGGCGGTGGGCCCCACACCTGGCTCGCGGGGGGTTCTGGGAGCCAGGCCAGAGGAGGACCCGGCACCCGGCGGGGGTACGGGGGTGTCGGGCCCAGCGTCCCCAGGGCGGGGCGCCCCTCACAGACTCGCCGCCCCGTGCCCAGGAATGCACACTGAAGGTCCAGGACGGCAAGTTCAAGCTGCAGGACCTGCTGGTGGTGCCCATGCAGAGGGTGCTCAAGTACCACCTCCTCCTGAAGGTGAGGCGCCTCCCACGGCCTCTGGCGGGCGGCTCGGGGTGCAGCCCAGACAGGCCAGGGCGGGACGGAACCCAGCAGGCAGGTGAAGACGGTCCGTGCTCAGCGCGTAAACACTGCCGCGGGCCGTGGAGCCGCGGTTCTCGAGCGGGTTCGTCCGGAGTGCTGGCGAGAAGCGGTTGGTTTGCGACCGCATCCTCTTTTCCCGTTAGAAACCACGTAAATGGAGTTAGCTCGTTTGGGACCCCGCAGTGATTCCGTTTTAACCTTCCTTACGTAGAGTGCACGTCGAATGTGCTGTTTAGTCTGTAAACAAACACTTCTTTCCTGAGACGCATCGAACTACCCTCCACGCGTCTTAAACGAATCAGCGTCGGCGCCCGGTCCAGGGGTGTCGCTCAGGGGGTCAGCATCTTCGCTTGTGCATGAGTTACCGCCTCCGAGATGCTGTCACCGGCGAACTGCTTTTCCTGTCTCTAAATCGACCAGTTTTTCTACCTCTTCAGCGGCCTGTGCCATGGTTTCCTTCACACCCTGAGCAACGTCACACTCTTGACGCCTCTTTCTGTTTGAAAATTGTGCTGGTCGTCCACTGTGCCAGCAACAAAAGCAAAAACAAATCCCCAGAAACCCACGAAAATATTTATAGCACAATTTCCCAAGAGGTTGACGAGGTTCACGAACTCGATTGTCCTGCTGATGTATCAGGGAGGAGGGTTGTCAGGTCGAGAACTAGAGTGTTTTTGTTCCTCAACCGAGACGTATTTTTCTCTGTGAACAACTTGGTCGAGAACCAGGTTGTTCGAGACATTCGAGAACCGAGGTTTGACAGTATATATTACGAGCTGCTCAGTAGATACATATGAAACGTTGATCAAAGTAAGTCTACAAAGGAAAATTATGATTAAAATTGGTAAGAGAGCCCGGCTGGTGTGGCCCAGTGGTTGAGCGTCGACCCATGCACCAAGAGGTCGCCAGTTCGATTCCTGGTCAGGGCACATGCCCAGGTTGTGGGCCCGATTCCCAGTAGGGGGCGTGCAGAAGGCGGCCAATTGATGTTCTCTCTCATCCATGTTTTTCTCTCTCTCTCTTCCTTTCTCTCTCTCTAAAATCAATAAAGAAAATTTTTTTTTTAAATAAATAAAGAATAAGATTGGTAAGAGAGCAGGGAAAGTGGAAGAGAGAAGCGTCGTCCGGCTGGGGAGAGAGTCCCTGTGGCTGTCTCCCAGTGTCCGGCCTGGGGAGAGAGTCCCTGTGGCTGTCTCCCAGTGTCCGGCTGGGGAGAGAGTCCCTGTGGCTGTCTCCCAGCGTCCGGCCTGGGGAGAGAGTCCCTGTGGCTGTCTCCCAGTGTCCGGCCTGGGGAGAGAGTCCCTGTGGCTGTCTCCCAGCGTCCGGCTGGGGAGAGAGTCCCTGTGGCTGTCTCCCAGCGTCCGGCTGGGGAGAGAGTCCCTGTGGCTGTCTCCCAGCGTCCGGCTGGGGAGAGAGTCCCTGTGGCTGTCTCCCAGCGTCCGGCTGGGGAGAGAGTCCCTGTGGCTGTCTCCCAGCGTCCGGCTGGGGAGAGAGTCCCTGTGGCTGTCTCCCAGCGTCCGGCTGGGGAGAGAGTCCCTGTGGCTGTCTCCCAGCGTCCGGCTGGGGAGAGAGTCCCTGTGGCTGTCTCCCAGCCTCTCTGAGCGCCCTGGCAGCCACGGCAGGAACGGAAATAGGTCCTCTGGGCAGACCTGGGAAAGGCAGGGGTTTCTGCTGAATGAAACTCTGTAGTGATCACCTGGGCACCTGTTAGCTCAGCACCTTGCCTTGTGCTGCTAACGTCCTGTTACCCACAGACTTGGGGACACCCCTCCCTTGCAGCAGTGTGTCGCCCGCGGAGGGCTCAGGGTCCGTCTGCTGCAGATGGGCAGCTGGACCAGAGCCTGGGCCCATGGGTGGGTCTTTGTCCCGGAAGGCCATACTCTGTGCACACACGCTGTGCCCGGTGGGGGCGAAGGCAGAGGCCAGGATCCCCGAGTCGTGACCCATGGCTCCGCTCTCCCCCGCCAGGAGCTTCTGAGCCATTCCGCCGACCGGCCCGAGAGGCAGCAGCTGAGAGAAGCACTGGAAGCCATGCAGGTGGGTAAACCGAGGCAGGGGGGGCTGGGCCAGCCCGGGGTTCAAGTGCCAAGCCTGTGCTCTCGGACTGGAAGTGGGCTCTCTAAGCCTCGCCCTGTGACCGTCGAGGTTGATTCTCCTGGGACAGGAGGGGAAGGTTCAGAGGGGCAGGTGGAAGGGGCCACAGGCCTCCGTTTCCTGCTGTCCCGCCTGCTGCAGGGGCTGTCCTTGGGTCCCAGGCCCTGGGCTCAGTTCCGGGCCACCCAGCCCTGTGACCTCTGCTTCTGAAATCCCTCCTCCACCAGCCACACCACATTCCCCACGCTGTCTGTGGAAGCCCACGCTGCAGGTATACCTCCCAAAGTACAGCCTAGTGCGAGCCACTCCCCTGCTCCAAAACCTTCAGTGGCTCCCCAGTGCCCCCGGCAGGCGTGGGCTCCTCCCCTGGCACACAGGCCTCCACGGGTGCTTGTGTGGCTCTGCAGTTGTTTTCCACGATGTCCACGTCCCACGCAAGCTTGGCCACTTCCAGGCGCCTGAACACACTCCATCCTTTTCCCCTCTGGTGTCGGCTCAGGGGGGGCCCCTCCATGTCACCTGGCTGTCCGTGTCCTCAGCCTTTCAAGGTGACGCCTCCCTGGAGGCCTGCACCCTCCAGGTTCCGTTCCCATGCTCTGTGGTCCATGCCCAGGTCTGGGCAGCCCTGTGCTTGTGCAGAATGTCACTCCAAGTCACGTGGGAACTGTGGCCTGTCCCTGAGGTCAGAGGGGTTGGACAGCTCCCTGGGCCATCTGTAACGTTTCTGCCTCTGGGTCCCAGCTTCTGCCCTGCCACTGACTGGGCTCCTGGCAGGAACGGCAGGAGGCTCAGAGGGGAGGCTGGGACCCGCCCCACTCAGCCTGGCTCGAGGGTCCCACCCAAGGCAGCCTGTGTGTCTGCCGGGCAGGGTCAGTGCCGCCTGCTGCGTTCTCCGGGGTGGGGCTGGTCCCCTGGCTCTGGGCAGCACCGGGTGCCTGCCCAGTCCCTCGGCCCTATGGAGTGCGGTGGGCACCGCCCCCTGGTGGCCAGCAGGCTGCATTGTATGGAAACCGCTAGCCGGTGGGGTTCACCCACATGCAGCAGAGGCTCCCCAGGCAGTGGCCTTTGGGGTGTCCACTTCCCAGAGCTAAGAAACGGGCTGATCCGAGTCTAGTTGGCTGTGTTTTTCCTACTCTCACTTAGAAGGGGGGCAGGAGGCAGGCGTTTGGGGTTCTCGGCCACCCATTGGTTTGCGGTTGTGGGTTGGTTTTAGCTTTTCTGCCTTAGTTCCTTCATTTGTCAGTGGAGGTGACCCGTCTCACTACCTTGTTTTGCGAGCCGGCCACCTCTGGCGGAGGGTTGAAGGTGCTTTGAGAGTGCCCGGCCCTGCGGAGTGCGGGGTGGGGTGCGGGCTGAGCCCCTCCGTGCCCCCCGCCCCCGGCACCAGCCTGCTGACTCCTCCCCACCCGTCGTCCTCAGGACTTGGCAATGTACATAAACGAAGTCAAACGGGACAAAGAGACCCTGAAGAAAATCAGCGAATTCCAGAGTTCCATAGAAAACTTGGTAAGTGTGCCGACCCTCCGGAGGGTGAGCTTGTGTCCATGCACATGTATTCTAAGAGTGACTCACGATCTCAGTATTGAGCAAGCGCAAGCGTGGACACACACTTGCCTGCCCGGCCTCGGGAGCCGGGCCGACACCACATCCTGCCCTTGCCAGCCGGCCCGGCACCCGTGCTCGGAGGTGGCCTGCCGGAGGACGGTGCTGACCGCCATCCCCCCTCACTGGACTGAGGACCCCCGTGGGTCCAGGAGGCCATGGCTCCCAGGGGCCTGCGGCTCCTCCTGGTCTGTGGCTCGTGCGTCCACACTGCCAGGAGCTGCCTCGGTTTCCCCGCCCCCTCCACGTCAGGCAGGGCTGACACCGCAGGGGACCCTGTTCGAGGCTCACCCTTGGGGAGAGGAGCTGTCCCGTCCAGGAAGCAGACACTTCCCCACCTGTGCCAACCAACGTCTCCCAGACCTGCCGAATGTTTGCCCGGCGTTTCTCCACGTCTGTGCTGTCGACGTGTGGGGCTGGATTGTTCCCTGCCGTGGGGTCTGTCCTGTGCCTTGCTCCCAGCACCCCCGCCCTCGAGGGGCTCAGCGGACACAGCCAGATACATCTCCAGATGTCTCCTGGGCACAGAGCTGCCCCTGGCGAAGAACCACGGGCTCATACCAGGCATCTTTGCTCTGGTCCCTGAACTTGGAAGGGTCCTGGCAAGTCTCTGTCACAGACGCATTTTGCAAAGGAAGCTCCCGGATGCCCAGGCCGACACCGGGGCCCGGGTGCCCCGTTCCTCGCCTGCCGGAGAGGGCCCCTCTGCACGCGTGCCCCGAGCGCGCTCAGAATGTCGAGGGAAGGAAACACGTTCCCAAGCACCATTAGAACACAACCCTGGTGTCCTTTCTTTTTAAAACAAAGTCTGAACGCCCAAGTGCGGAGGAGGTTAGGGACGGGGTGCCCGGGCTGTGGTTGGTAGTGCTGGCAGCCGGGTGGGGCCGAGGTGGCCAGGGTTCCCCTGGACTGTGTGACGGGCGGGCTTCACTTTTGTAATAGGAAGAAAGATGGTTTTTGTCTGTGGTTTAAAAATTTTTTACATGTAAGTAATACCTGTTTTTTTATAATCCTCACCTGAGGACATTTTTGTATTTATCTTCAGATAGAGAGGGAGGGAGAGAGAGAAACAGCGATGTGAGAGAGACACATCGACTGGCTGCCACCCACACGGTCCCACCCGGGGCCAGGGACAAACTGCAACCGAGGTACGTGCTCTTAGCGGAAACCGAACTCAGGTCTCTGGGGTCCGCGGGCCGACGCTCTAACTCCTGAGCCAAACCCGCCAGGGCGTTTACTTATTTCTTAAGTCACAAAGCTGGGACCTGGTGGTGGCCAGCGGTGGCGCCTTCCCTCGGGCCAGGCGCCCTGCGCAGCCTGCGCTCTCTCCCGAGGCCCACCGCCAGGCCGGGGTGGCACTCTGGCCCTGCACAGGGCGCTCACCCCGCCCTCTGCGACACCAAGGCTGCTGAGCTCCGAGTCTTGCCCCGGCCGCTTCTGGAAAATTCAGAGAACGTGGAAGAAGATGCGAGAACTGTCCGTGGTAGCGCCACGCAGACACGCCTCCTTCGGATTTTAAAGTGCTCCCCCTCGCCTTGTCTGTCTGCGTGGACCACGCGGGAACGTGTTGAGAACGTCTCTGAATCAAAGCCCAGAAGCCGAGCGGAAAACGAAATGAAATCTCAGCAGACCAGAGAGGGGTTTGAGGGACCCTCTCCCTGGAAGACGAGCCCCGCCCGCCCGCCCTCCGTCTGACAGGCTCTGGGCGCCTTTGACTTGGTCTCGGGGCTGGGCGTCTTCAGGTCCCCACTCTGGCGGCAGGCCACAGGGCCTCCTGAGGTCAGCCCCGTGAATCGCTCTGTGTTCCTGCAGAGCTGAAGGCGGCCCTTGGCGGGCTGGGGGCGCAGGGGCCTCCAGGCCAGCTCCTCCCGCTGCCTACTGTCCCGTTGTTCTAAGCACCCGCCAGGACCCACTGGCTTCATTTCTCTGGGGTTTCGCCCCTGGTTTCTGTGGGCAACGCCCCCTTTGGGCTCCCGCACACCTGCCCTTTCTCCCGAGTCGGTGCTGGGACAGGAGGCCCTTCTCCGGCATCAGGGCCAACAGCCTTCCCCTGTCTTTCCCAGCAAGTGAAACTGGAGGAGTTTGGGAGGCCCAAGATCGACGGGGAGCTGAAGGTCCGGTCCATCGTCAACCACACCAAGCAGGACAGGTGAGCGGAGTGTGGCGCAGGCGGGTGGCACCCCGCAGAGCCAGCCGCCCTCCCAGGTCTGGAAGCGGCTTTTCCGGGGGAAAGAGCTGCCTGCCCGCCCGGCTTTGTGTTGCTCGTTTTAATAGCTTCCTTCCTTCTCGGCAGAGCGTCGCTGAGCCTGGTCTGCCAGCAGCCGCCACGCCCGAGGGCACCCTGCCTGTGGCCGCCGGCTGGGGGCGGGGCGGGGCGGGGAGCAGCTGGAGGCTGGCTGGCGAGCTCACAGGCTCCGGGAGCGGAGCACACAGAGCGGCCGCATGAGCTCTTTGCCAAATGAGCAAGGGAGTGCCAGGGCGGGCCACGGGGGCAGCCCCAGCCGGGCGGGCAGGGCCGCTGCCGCTCAGTCCTCCATGCACACCTACTGTGTGTGAGGCCTGGGCTGTGACTGGGGTCATAGCTCATACGGGTGCAGCTCCGGCCGGACGCCCGGTCTAGTTAGTGGGAGATGGAGCCTGGGGGCGGAGGAGCCCATATATGCTTGGCCGTGGGGGGAAGTCAAGAGGGCTTCCTGGTCGAGGGTCCACGTTCGCGGGTGAGCTGGGCAGAGGGCAGGGCCCGGGCTCTCTCCGGGGGCCTGGAGCGCAGTGCGTGGGCCCTGCTGATGGCCCCTGGCCGTGCCGTTGGGCCAGGTACTTGTTCCTGTTTGACAAGGTGGTCATCGTCTGCAAGAGGAGGGGCTACAGCTACGAGCTGAAGGAGATCATCGAGCTGCTGTTCCACAAGATGACCGACGACCCCATGAACAACAAGGATGTCAAGAAGGTGGGTCCTGGGCTCCTGGTGGCAGCAGGTTAGACCTGTGCCTCTGCCCGTGGAGGAGCCGTGGGGTGGCCTTGGGGTGGCCTAGGGGAAGGCTGCAACAGTGGGAGTCTGCTGACCCTGGCCGGGTGGGCTGCCCCTGTCCATCACCCTCTCGTCCCTGGGCCCTCTGCTGGAGACAGGCCCCTGTGCCCGGGGTGGGGTGGGGGGGGGCACTCCCCTGGCCTTGGGTCTTTGACTCTTTCCTGGGAATGGGCGTAGCCAGGATCACAGCGCCCCGGTGAGGAGACGAACACAGGCCCAGGCCACGTGCTGGGGTGAGAGCCAGCATCAGCCCATTGGCCCTTGCAGCAAGCAGGCCTCCCTGCCCCTCCCACCCCTTTGGAGGAGGGCTCTGCGGGGACCTCGCTGTAGCTTTCAGACTGGTGTCCAGTCAGTGGGCCATGGCTGCTCGGGGCCGGATTGTGACTTCTGGGGGTGGGGCCAAGGCTGCTAGGAGGATGGGGACATGGCTGTTAGCAGTGGGATTATGACTGTTGGGGATGGGGCCATGGCTGTAAGGGGCCAGATTATGACTGCTGGGGGCGGGATCATTACGGCTGAGGGTGTGGCCATGACTGCTGGGGGTGGGGCCGTGACTTCTGGGGGTGGGATTATGACTGCTGGGAGTGGGATCATTACGGCTGAGGGTGTGGCCATGACTGCTGGGGGTGGGGCCATGACTTCTGGGGGTGGGATTATGACTGCTGGGGGCGGGGTCATTACGGCTGAGGGTGTGGCCATGACTGCTGGGGGTGTGGCCATGACTGCTGGGGGTGTGGCCATGACTGCTGGGATGGGGCCATGACTTCTGGGGGTGGGGCCGAGGCTGCTAGGAGTGGGATTATGACTGCTGGGGGTGTGGCCATGACTGCTGGGGGCGGGGTCATTATGGCTGAGGTGGGGCCATGACTTCTGGGGTGGGATTATGACTGCTGGGGGCGGGATCATTATGGCTGAGGGTGTGGCCATGACTTCTGGGGGTGTGGCCATGACTGCTGGGGGTGGGGCCATGACTTCTGGGGTGGGATTATGACTGCTGGGGGCGGGATCGTTACAGCTGAGGGTGTGGCCATGACTGCTGGGGGTGTGGTCATGACTGCTGGGGGTGTGGCCATGACTGCTGAGGGTGTGGCCATGACTGCTGGGGGTGGGGCCATGACTTCTGTGGGTGGGGCCGAGGCTGCTAGGAGTGGGATTATGACTGCTGGGGGCGGGATCATTATGGCTGAGGGTGTGGCCACAACTGCTGGGGGTGCAGCCTTGCCTGCTAGGGGTGTGGCCATTGATTCTGGGGGTGGGGCAATGACTGCTAGGGGAGGGGTTATGACTTGGGGTGGGGTCATGGCTGCTAGGGGTGTGACCATGAACTCTGGGGGCGGGGTCATGGGTGCTGGGGGTGGTGCCTTGCTTGCTAGGGGTGTGGCCATGGATTCGGGGGGCGGGGCCATGGCTGCTAGGATGGGACTGCTGTGCCCCCTGGTTCAGCCTGCTTCTGCAGGGGCTTCTGCACCCAGAGCTTGAGCATTTCCTGTGTGCAGCCCTGAGCCAGGTGTGGGGCCAGGAGCCAATGTGCTAAAAACCCAGACCCTGGACTTTGGAGCTTACAGTACGGAATGAGGGTACTGTCTGGAAGACCTATTAGGGGTGACCCGCCTAACCCGGATGTCTGAAGTAAACTCCTGGGACCCCAGAGGTGGGAACCTGAGGCCATTCCCCGGGCCCTGGGCTGAAGATGAAACCTCCCAAGTCCTAGGCCCTGGCAGCTTCCCCTCTGGGAGGGAGGCCCTGGCCCCAGCTGCCCCCTCCCAGGGCGCTTGCTGTGTGGTCAGTGTCCTGGGCTGCGGTGCCCCCTGCAGGGCTGGGCGAGTCCTGTAATGACCTCGCTCCGTTTTTTCTTCCCGCTCCTCATGCTTCCTAGTCTCACGGGAAAATGGTAAGCACCTGGCGCCTCCCACCGCCCCTCCCTCAGGGCCCGATGCCGGCATTCCTTCCTGAGCAGAGAGTGGGTCCTGGGCACCCGGGGCCAAGGAGGGCCGGCTCATGGTTCTCCCTCCCCTAGCTTCTTAACTATGACAATGACGTGTGCAGGGTGTCAGTGAAGGTCCCACCCCCCTGGCTGGTCCCCACCCACTCCGTTCCCTAGAGGTCCAGGCCATAGCTGCTCAGGGTTTGTCCAGTGTCCTCTGTTATCCTCTGTCTTTTCTCCCCTCCCTCCCTCCATCCTCCTTCCCTCCCTTCCTCTCTCCCTCCCTGCTCCTTTTCCTATCTCCCTTTCTGTCTTCCTCCCTCTCTCCTCCTCTTCTTTCTCCTCCCTCCCTTCCTTTCCTCTCCATCATTTCTAGCACATGGGCTCAGGTTTTTCCAAACTCTTCCTGGGCCCCTTTGAAGCCCCAGCGATGGCCACACCTGGTGGGTGGCCGAGGGGGTGGGGCAGCTGTGTGGGGATTTGTCATGGGCCCCCCAAGGCCCATGGCCTTTCCCTGCCTGTTTTTTTTAATGTTAATTTGCTTCAGAGAAGTGAGTTTCTTTAGCATCACATTGGGGAAGTGAAAGTGGGTGGGCTGGTGTTGTGGAAGGGCCCAGGGCCAGTGCCGGCCCCGGGCTCCCTGGGGACCCAGCTCAGTCATTAGGGATGACCCCGGCTGCACCAGCAGAGTTCAGTTGAGGGCATGCCTGGAAGGGGATGGAGGGGGGTCCCAGGAAATCCTGTTAGAGGGGTGTGCACATGCCCCTGCATACATGTGTGTCCAGCATAGACACAAACATGAGTGCACTTACACATGCACATACACAAGCACAGATACATGCACATGAGTGCACTGTACACGTGTGCACACACAGGTACAGAGGCACACGTGTGCACATACAGACACATGCACATGAGTGCACTGTACACATGTGCACACACAGGTACAGACGCACACGTGCGCACAGGCACAAACACATGCACATGAGTGCACTGTACACGTGCACACACAGGTACAGACGCACACGTGTGCACACACAGGCACAGGCACATGCACATGAGTGCACTGTACACATGTGCACACACAGGTACAGACGCACACGTGCGCACACAGGCACAAACACATGCACATGAGTGCACTGTACACATGTGCACACACAGGTACAGACGCACACGTGTGCACACACAGGCACAGACACATGCACATGAGTGCACTGTACACATGTGCACACACAGGTACAGACGCACACGTGCGCACATAGGCACAAACATATGCACATGAGTGCACTGTACACATGTGCACACACAGGTACAGACGCACACGTGCACACACAGGCGCAGACACATGCACATGAGTGCACTGTACACGTGCACACACAGGTACAGACGCACACGTGCGCACACAGGCACAAACACATGCACATGAGTGCACTGTACACGTGCACACACAGGTACAGACGCACACGTGCACACAGGCGCAGACACATGCACACGAGTGCACTGTGCACATACACGTGTGCACACACAGACATCATAGCTGTGCACTTACACATGCACGTGCATGCACACACGTGCTCGTGTTCCCGAAGCCCTGCCTGTAAGTGTGCCCCTTCCTCCCGCAGTGGTCCTATGGCTTCTACCTGATTCACCTGCAAGGCAAACAGGGCTTCCAGTTCTTCTGCAAGACGGAAGACATGAAGAGGAAGTGGATGGAGCAGTTCGAGATGGCCATGTGAGTCAGCAAGCGACGAGGCGGGGTTGGGGGCCCCCGGGGCTTTTGTCCGGGACTGTCAGGCGAGGACCCAGGCCAATGCCCAGGGACTGCTGTGCCATCCCAGCCCCACAGGGGCGCCCTAGCTGTTTTGCAGCCTCCCCGGGCAAGAGGGCTGTCCCTCTCTCAGCCTGTCCCAGGCGGGCTCCGCCGACCGCTGCCCCACGGCTGAGCCTGGCACACCTGTCCCGCACTGAGTGGTCCTGATGCCAGGCGGACCCTTGGTGACCCGGATCCTCGGCCTTTCAGGCTGTGGGTTGTCACCTCTCTGTGGAAGCCACAGCTGTTTTCCCATGAAATCTAGGAGGAGCCCCAATGTGTCCAACCGAGAAAGGTGATCACTAGGTCCTTGGGGTCCCCAGACCGTGGGACCTGAGGCCAGAGTGGCAGGTCTGCAGGCCCCCATTCTCTGCAGTCGGGCGGGCAGCTGTGCTCCCCTCCTCGGGTGATGTGGAGGTGGAAGGCGGGCCCAGGTCACGGGGTGACTGGGAAGGTCAAGTGGTACCACATCTGGGTCAGCTCAGAGAGGTGGCGGTCGGGCCGTCTCCACATCTGCCCCTTGGGTCTCGGGTGTACTTTTCTCCCCATGTTCTCTTGTGAACACCTTTGCGTGTTCGTCACTGTGGACAGGCCATTGGTCTCCCTGCCGTCTGACAGTGATGTCTCCCTGGGACCCCGAGGGGACTCACAGACACAGTGCGTGTCCCCCGAATGCTGCAGGGTGCCTGTCGTGAGCGCGGGTTCAGTCTGTTCCGTTTTTAATGTCTTTTTAAAATGATTATTTCTTTATTGATTTTAGAGAGAGAGGAAGGGAGAGGGAGAGGGAGAGACATCGATGACAGAGACACATGGACTGGCTGCCTCCTGCACGCCCCCCACTGGGGATCAGGCCCACAACCTGGGCATGTGCCCTGACCAGGAATTGAACCGGTGACCTCTTGGTGCAGGGTCGACGCTTAGCCGCTGAGCCACACCGGCCAGGCCTATTTCATTTCTAACATGTACACAGTGAAGTCCTAAGAGCTCACCGGCTCAGTCTTGACAGGTGCCCGTGCCTGCCCACCCCAAACCCTCGCCAGGATTTAGCCATGACCTTCACCCAGAAGGTCTCCTGTGCCTGTGCAGCGGACCCCGTGCTAGCCGGGGTGTCGGGCAGACCTGGGCTCGGAGTCCTGGCCCTGCCGACTGGTCTGGGGCTCAGGGAATCTGCCGCCCCCTTTCCCTCCCGCCAGGTCGAACATTAAGCCTGACAAAGCCAACGCCAACCACCACAGCTTCCAGATGTACACGTTTGACAAGACCACCAACTGCAAAGCCTGCAGGATGTTTCTCAGGTGGGGCCCCCTGCCGCCAGCCCCGAGGGGGCCCAGTGCTGCGAGTGCCCAGGTCCCGCGGCCGCCGGCCCCTCCCTCCGCAGCCCCGCGCTGGCCCCGTCAGTCAGATCCAGCCAGGGGGGAGGTGCCGTCCCTGCAGGTGCCAGGGCCTGCTGTGGGGATGGCAGAGCAAGGTGGGCTGTCCTTGGGGGGAGCGGCACCCCCAGGATGCAGGGTCCTGGAGGCCCAGGGCTGTGAGGAATTGCGCTCTGTAGGGGCAGCGAGGACGGTCTGGTGCTCCCCGGGCCCTGCCGGTGGCTGCAGGCTGTGGGGACCTGGGCAGCACCCACCTCACCTCCGGCCTCTCCCCACCGGCACAGGGGCACCTTCTACCAGGGGTACCTGTGCACCAAGTGTGGCGTCGGGGCCCATAAGGAGTGTTTGGAAGTGACGCCTCCCTGCAAGACCAGTGAGTACCGCCCTGCGCTGCCTGCGGACGCACGCCGAGGGGCCGGGGTCAGGGCCACGGGTGCCGTCCCCAGGTGAGGGTGGCGTCCCCAGGTGAGGGTGCCGTCCCCAGGTGAGGGTGGCGTGCCCAGGTGAGGGTGCCGTCCCCAGGTGAGGGTGTCATTGCTCTGTCATCCACTGCCACCCTCCTGGCCCCGGGCTGAGTGAGCACCTTCTCCTTTCCTGCCGTGGTGACCCCCGGGGACAGAGGTGAGGACACCAAGGCTCAGAGAGGGGAGGGCCCCTGCCCTTGGTCACACAGTGTCGAGGGCCAGGGGGCTGGGGATTCCATCCAAACCCCCCTCCTAACTGGGACGTTGAGGGCTTTGTTCTGCCTCTTCTGCGTCCACCCCCACACGGACACAGCGTTCTCGGCGGTCGCATGGAGGTTTCTGATCACAGAGAAACCCCTGTCCCCGAATTCTCCTGCCCCGGGGTGATGGGCGCTCTAGCTGCAGCGAGGGTCGGGTCCGCCCGCACACACGCCGGTTTCCCGGCTGCTGCTGAGTGCTGGCCCAGTGCCCTGGCGGGAGTGGGGACCCCAGCCGGCCCCTCATCCTCGCCGCCGGCCCTGCAGCCCGCTCGGCCCAGCCAGGACCCAGCAGGAAGACACCGGTCCCCGGCCCAGCCGGCTTTTCCGCTTTGCCCGAGACTGCCCTCTTGTGGCCGCACGTCCTTCCCATGGTGGGACTCGGGCATTTTTTTGTTCGGATCCTAAAATTAACATTCTTGTCAAAACTTTGGAGGGAAGCCCCGGCTGGTTCGGCTTAGCGGTTAGCGTGTCGGCCCGTGGACCAGAGTCTTGAGTTCGATTCCCCGTCAAGGGCACGTACTTGGGTTGCGGCCCTGGTTGGGTAGTTCAGGAGGCCATTGGTGTGTCTCTCACATCGAGGTTTCTCCCTCTCTCTCTCTCCCCCCATCCTCCCTCCCACGCTATCTGAAAATCAGTGGAAAAATATCCTCGGGAGAGGATTAAAAAAATTTTATTGGCCCTGCCTAGTTTGGCTCAGTGGTTAGTGCGTCGGCCTGTGGTCTGGAGAGACCCGGGTTCGGTTCCCGCTAAGGGCATGTATCTCGGTTGCAGTTTGTCCCCTGGTTGGGTCGTGTGGGTGGCAGCCACTCGATGTGTCCCTTTCACATCGATGTTTCTCTCTCTCCCACTCTATCTGAACAAAAAATGGAAAAATGTCCTCGGGTGAGGATAAAAAAAAAAATTCTTTTTGGAGAGAGAAAAAAAGAGAAGAAATGAAATAAAGAAGAAATTAGTATCACCCATGAACAGATCAAAAAGAATCAAAGGCAGGACTTTAGTGTGGGGTCTGGGCTGACCCCTGTCCGGTCCGGCCGTGGCGCCGGCACCCGGCAGTGAATGGGAAATGGACCAACTCTGCTGTGGGCGGTGGTGTGCTTCTCTGTCCACCTGGAGCGAGTCCGCCCCGTCTCGGTGCCCGAGGTTGACCGCCGTTCGACGTCATGGTCCCATAGGGACCGGGGCCTGGGCCCCATGATGCTCGGGGAGCAGGCTGACCCTCGGCAGGTGCCCCCGCCGCTTGCGCTTCAGAATGAAGCTCGGGGCCTGCTCCTCACGGGACCCAGAGCTCACCCAGCCCCTGCCCGTGGGGCTCCAACTTCCGGAGCCGTCTCAGGCTTCCGGCGGCCCACCCGGCGGCTCTGGGGTGGGCACCCCCACAAACCAGTACGCTTCAGGGGAGCGATCTTCTGGGTTTCCCCTCTGGCCCTTGCATACCGTTTCCCGGGGACATCTGGAAAGTGCAGACAGCGAAGGAGATGAGGACGAGCTGTCGGCCACCACGCAGCTCCCTGCTGTGAGTGCCCGGCCCACCTGGCCTCTGCGTGGGTTCATTCTCTCTGCAGCTGGGAGCTCACCGGATGGGCAGTTTCATGTCTTTCTGAAAATGTGTTTTCTTTATTGATTTAGAGAGAAAGGAAGGGAGAGGGAGAGAGAGAGAAACATCGAGGAGAGAGAACATGGTTGGGCCGCCTCCTGCACGCCCCCCACTGGGGACTGGGCCCACAACCTGGGCATGTGCCCTGACGGGGAATCGAACCGGCGACCTCTTGGTGCAGGGTTTCATGTCTTTTGAAAGCCAGAGTCACTGTGAGCACCCTGTCATGTCACCGAGCCCATGGTGGGCCCTGGTTTTATTGTAAGGAGCCCGCGGTCCCCCCAAGGGCACACACACGGTTCCTGTTCCTGTCCCTCTGCTGGGGACGCCGTCCTGCCCAGTCTCCTCTGGCCATTTTCCCTGGAGAGTCCCAAGCTGCCGTCTGTCCCACCCAGGATTCTTGTCCTTCGGGCTGGGCTTGGGCTCCAGCAGCTCCTTTGGCCTTTGTCAGCTGCGGGCAGCTCTGGGCACGGCCAACGACCCAGGCCTCTCCCCTGGTGGACCCTTGTCACGGCACAGCCTTCCATGTGGTCACTGGCTGCACTGCCTGGCCCTCCGAGGGTGACGTGGTGTTGAGGTCACGTCAGCCACGCACGGCAGCCGTGGTGGTCCTGGCTTTGTCCGGTGGTGAGGTCGCAGAGAGCTTGGCAGGTGGCTGGGGCCAGCCTGGCACTGCGCCCTCCCTTGAGGGCATCGGGCAGGCAGAAAGACTGGAGCGTCTGCCTCCCGTCGGATCAGCTGAGGTGCTCCGTGTCCCTGAGCATCCCGGCGCCTGTGTCTGAGACGAGGATGTCCAATAGGGACCATGAGTACCGACACCTCCTTGTCGCTTGCCCGCGGTGGGCATCACTGACCAGCTGTGGCATCGCCCCTTTGAGCCTGGGCGTCTGCTGTGCTGGCCGAGCAGGAGGGCCTGTCTGCCCTCGATGTGGTACCCGGTCTGGGTTCTCCCGTGGACACCTGAGACCAGAGCTCAGAACTTGCCGTCGCAAGTCACCGGAAGACTTTCGTGGTTACCACTCTGCGTGTCTGTGACCCACGTCTGACACGAGCTGCCTCAAGGCCACCTCAGTCACTGTGGGCGGGGCTGCCCGGGCTGTGGCGCCGGCGGCTGGCCCGCTAAGGCTCCGTGCTTCCTTTTCAGGTTCGCCCGCAGAGCCGGTGAGTCCGCCGCGCCCTTCTCTGCCCACACGGCCTGTGCCCACACGGCCCTGCTGCTCTGGCTCTCCGCACACCTGGGCATCGCCGGCGAGCGCGGCCAGTGTGGGCCAGCCTGGCACTGCATCCTGCCCGCTGCCACCTGAGCCGCTTACCCGGCGGCTGGCTTGTGGTTGTGGGTGCCCAGCTTTGTGACATGCACCTGCCCCCCTGCCCCCCACCCTGACTCAGCTTAGAGCCCTCTGTTTAGTGGACCTGAGGATGAAGTCCCTGGAGTCACTTAAGGGGTGTGGACATTGTGGCCTGCCCAGCGGTGGGCTCCAGTCAAGTTGACCAGCACTTGGAGGGTGCTTACTAGGCCCTGCTTGGGGTACAAAGCCACTCTCTTGGAGGAGGAGGCACACAGCACCTGGTCGTGTGCCTCGGAGCACGTCCCAGGCAGATAAACCGCAGGCTCCCAGCAGGGAGGCTTGAGGGCGGGGTGGTCAGGGCGGGCTTCCTGGAGGAGGTGGGGGTTAACGGTGAGGCGTGGGACAGGGAAGGGGTGGGTGTTCCAGGCTGTCGGCACAGAGGAGGAAGGTATAGTAGAATGGGGGTTGTCACATAGGGAAGCAGGACATGTCCCTGCACCCCCCTCCCACCTCCTGCCTTGACCTTTCTGTGTGGGGCTGTGGGGCGGCGTGTCGGGCATCGGGCCGCCACCGTCAGCCCTGTCGTCTGTCTTTGCCTCACAGGACGCGTCTGGAGCTGGACCAGGTGAGGGTGCGGGCTTGGGTCCTCTCGGCCATTGTCTTCGTCAGCGGTCACTGAGCGCTGAGCTTGGGGTGGCCCTGGCTGCCCAGCTCTTTGCGGCCCCCTGGGCTCCAGCGTCCCACCCTGTGTGCTGTCCACCAGCCCCGTGTCCCTCCGGCCTCCACGGCCACCTGACCCGGGGGCCCTCTTAGCGGCTGATGGGCACGCTGGGTGGGGCAGGGCACCGCCCGCGGGGGTCAGCGTCCTGGCGGCCTGGGAAAGGCCGAGCGCGCCCAGCCCTGGGCAGTGGGCATCGGAACCCCGCCGCCCGACCGCTCCGGTCTCCTCGTCCCAGCAGCCCACGCGCGGCGTCACGGGGACGTGGGCTGACAGCCGAGAAGGGAGCGAGTCTCTCGCTGTGAAATTCCTCTGCAGCCGCCGGGGACGTGGGGCGGCTGGGCCAGAGCAGGGCGCAGGGGCCCCGCACAGTCTTGGGGGCTCAGCCGGGACCCCCATTTCAGCCCCGAGCTGGCCCGGACCAGTGGTGGCCTTGGCCAGTCCCCGGCTGACCGCCGGTCTCTGGCAGGAGCTGCCTCCTGTGTGGCCGCCTGTTGGTCCCAGGTTGGGAAGGTGTTTAGAAGGAGCCCCGTGAGGCGTCAGTTAAAAATAAGCCTCTGTGACCACGGCGTCCTGAGTCTGGTCACATACGTGTGTGTAACGGGGACACGGGAGTCTCCGGGCGGACGCAGTCACCCAGCCGCGCCCTGCCCTGTCCCCCACAGGGCCCAAGATGGTGGCGGTGCAGAATTACCATGGCAACCCCGCTCCCCCCGGGAAGCCGGTGCTGACCTTCCAGACGGGCGACGTGATTGAGCTGCTGAGAGGGGACCCCGAGTCTCAGTGGTGGGAGGTGGGTCCTAGGCCCGCAAGGCCCCGGGCAGGGCAGGTTTGGGGTTGGGGGGGCAGGGGTGGAGAGGGGCGGGCGGCTGCTTTGCCCTGGAAGGGGGTGCAGCGCCCCGCACAGGGAGGCCCTCCTCCTGCCGTCCCGTCTGCCTCCTGCCTGGGCCGCGTGCTGCACCCCTCCCCGAGCGGAGCCGGGCTTCGGCTGGCCTTGCAGAGCCACTTTGCTGATGGGGACTGGAGGCCAAGGAGGGCGCGGGAGGGCTCAGGGAGGCTTTCCAGGCAGCGGGGACGGAGAGCGAGGCCGGTCCCCACCCCGGGCCCCCCGAGGGTCTGTGTAGATCAGAGGGAACAGCAGCCCGGAGATGGGCTCTGGTTCCCGCTGTGAGCAGCCACTCAACCCCTGCGGGCTCAGTGTTCTCATCCGTGAAGTGGGGGTGCTGCTCCCCTTCCTGCCCCCCATGGTTGTGAGGCCAGCGGAGGGCACAGCAGGAGGTGATGCCTTAGGAGACAGTGGCCACTGAAATGCCCCGCACTGGCCAGCCAGACCCACCGGCCCGACCGTCTCTGTCTCCAGGGGCGGCTGGTGCAGACCAGGAAGTCCGGCTACTTCCCCAGCGCGTCTGTGAAACCCTGCCCCGTGGACGGAAGGGTGAGCTTGCCCACGGGGGCTTCTGGGGCACAGCGGCACGGTGCGGAGGGCTGCAGAGCCGTCCTCCCCGGGAACCCTTGCTGGTGGCCGTCGAGCTGGCCCCGGAGCCCCGTCTGCACCCAGAGGAGGCGGGTGGGGGCCTGTTTGAAGGACCCAGCCGGCTGAGGGTTTTGTTCCATCATTTTAGTGTCTTTAGTTAAAGTGCCCCCTGGCCCCCTGCAGTGCGCCCGGCTGCCAGCCCCATCTGCTCAGCCCCAGGTTCTAGGCGGTCTTGTTGCTCTGGCCAGAAGGGCCACGGTGAGGGGTCTGGAGAGCAGACACCTGCCTGAGTGCAGCTGCCCCTGGAGACCACCTACTGCCGGCCAGATGCCTGCCCTGGGGCCCCGGGCCTGTCTGTGGCAGAGGACTGTGGGGTGTGCAGAGGTCTGTGGGGTGTGCAGAGGTCTGTGGGGTGTGCAGAGGACTGTGGGGTGTGCAGAGGTCTGTGGGGTGTGCAGAGGACTGTGGGGTGTGCAGAGGTCTGTGGGGTGTGCAGAGGTCTGTGGGGTGTGCAGAGGTCTGTGGGGTGTGCAGAGGACTGTGGGGTGTGCAGAGGTCTGTGGGGTGTGCAGGGGACTGTGGGGTGTGCAGGGGACTGTGGGGTGTGCAGAGGACTGTGGGGTGTGCAGGGGACTGTGGGGTGTGCAGAGGTCTGTGGGGTGTGCAGGGGACTGTGGGGTGTGCAGGGGACTGTGGGGTGTGCAGAGGTCTGTGGGGTGTGCAGAGGACTGTGGGGTGTGCAGAGGACTGTGGGGTGTGCAGAGGACTGTGGGGTGTGCAGGGACTGTGGGGTGTGCAGGTCTGTGGGGTGGCAGGGGATGTGGGGGTGTGCAGGGGACTGTGGGGTGTGCAGAGGACTGTGGGGTGTGCAGGGACTGTGGGGTGTGCAGGGGACTGTGGGGGTGTGCAGAGGTCTGTGGGGGGTGTAGAGGACTGTGGGGTGTGCAGAGGTCTGTGGGGTGTGCAGAGGACTGTGGGGTGTGCAGAGGACTGTGGGGTGTGCAGAGGACTGTGGGGTGTGCCCCTGTCCTGGGGCCCTAGGCCTGTCTGCGGCAGAGGACTGTGGGGTGTGCAGAGGACTGTGGGGTGTGCAGAGGACTGTGGGGTGTGCCCCTGCCCTGGGGCCCTAGGCCTGTCTGCGGCAGAGGACTGTGGGGTGTGCCCCTGTCCTGGGGCCCTAGGCCTGTCTGCGGCAGAGGACTGTGGTGTGTGCAGGGGACTGTGGGGTGTGCAGAGGTCTGTGGGGTGTGCCCCTGTCCACCACTGAGGAGTTCTGCGGCCTTCAGTCACACCCTTCCTGGGGATGGGGTACACTGTTGGTTGGCCGCTACTCGTTCATTCATTCATTCATTCACTCACTCAGGTGGTGAGTCCCAGTCTCTGCCCTCAGGGACCTCGCAGTCCAGTGGCTCCAGGGCACAGGGTCGGTTGTTGCTGACAAGCCCCCTCTGAGCCCCACTGTGGACGGCCCCTGGGGGGACATTAACCCGAGCGTTCTCTCTCTACCAGCCACCCGTGGGCAGGCTGCCATCCCGGGAGATCGACTACAGCGCTTACCCCTGGTAAGTGGCCGGCGGGGCCGTGGTGAGCAGCTGGGTCTGCCCACCCCCGGTGGCGGGACCCTTGGCCGCTGCAGACCCTCAGGGCCGAGCGTTCGGAGAATGCTCTTTCCCACGGTCGCCGTGGCGGCTCACCGTACGAAGTGTGTAGATGTGGTGTCTTCAGGGCCAGGTCTGCCACTGAACTCACTCACGCGTGGCCCTGCGAGGACGGCGTGAAGGTGAACATTTCAGTGCGAGTCAGTCACAGGTGCAGGACGGCCCCCAGCTCCAGCTTTGTCGTCGGCTGCTGGTCACTGGCTGCTGGAAGGATGGCCGCCCTGCGTGGCCACAGCCGTGGGCGGCGTGCGTGTGGTGACCTCTACCCGGGGAGTGTCTGCCCTCCTGGTTGCCGGTTGGGGCTCTTCCCGGAAGCCACCCCTGCGCCCACAGGGCAATGTGCCGGCACCTCGGTGTCCCCGGCACCTGGCGAAGTGGCCCTGCTGTCTCTGCGGGGCTGGGTCCGTGCACGAACATCCTTCACCCACACTGAGGTCTGACACACGGGGGGACTAGGCTGTGGTTTCCACTGGACGGATTAGCAGACAGGATTTAAGATGTGTGATGGCACAGCCCTGGCCGGTTTGGCTCAGCGGTTAGAGTGTCGGCCGCAGACCAGAGAGTCCCGGGTTCGGTTTCCGCTAAGGGCACGTACCTCGGTTGCAGTTTTTCCCTGGCCTCGGCTGGGGTTGTGTGGGTGGGTGGCAGCCAGTCGATGTGTCTCTCACATCAATGATTCTCTCTCTCTCTTCCTCCCTCTCTCCCTCCTGTTCTATCTGAAGATAAATGCAAAAATGTCCTCGGGTGAGGATAAACAAATAATGGGTAAAGGCAGGACTCCTCTTTGCATTACTGACACAGTCCCAACTTTGCAATGGGGAGGTCACGAGTTTTGTTTAGAAGCAGGGGCCGGGACAGGTCTTGCCTCCTCAGTGGGCTTTGTTTCCGTGGAGATGGTGGGAAAAGCTGTCGGTCTGTCCAGAAACTCGTTCACAGAGGTGCTGGTGGTCTCCAGTGTGTTACAACAAACCCCCCACTGATGGGAGCAGTTTACATTGACTACTACTTTTTAAAAAAATCAAAACAATGTTTTTTCTTTATTGATTGTAGAGAGGGAGGAAGGGAGAGGGAGAGAGAGAAACATTCATGAGAGAGAACATCGATTGGCCGCCTCCTACATGCTGCACACTGGGATTGTTTTTTTTTTTTATCCTCACCCGAGGACATTTTTGCACTTATCTTCAGATAGAGTGGGAGGGAGGGAGAGAGGGAGGAAGAGAGAGAGAGAAACATCGATGTGAGAGAGACACATCAACTGGTTGCCACCCACACGACCCCAATCGGGCCGGGGACAAGCTGCAACAGAGGTACGTGCCCTTAGTGGGAACTGAACCCGGGACTCTCCGGTCCATGGGCCAACGCTCCAACCGCTGAGCCAAACTGACCAGGGCCCACACTGGGAATTTACCCCACAACCTGGGCATGTGTCCTGATCGGGAATGAAACTGGCAACCTCTTGGTGTACGGGTTGACGCTCAACCACTGAGCCGCACTGGCCGGGCTGATTACTGCGGTTTAAACTGTGCAAACTTAATCTGAAGCCTGTTACACTGAGCGCCTCCCACAGGCTCCAGGCTGCACAGGGCAGAACCCTGCAGAGGACTGGCCCAGGTCTCGGGTCCTTGTCCCCCTCCCTCCGTCTTTCCTGTGCCCACTGTGGGTCCCTCCCGTGGGGCATGGCCTCGTTCCTTTGGGTTGTCATGGGGATGGAAGCTGCTGTCGCGGGCTGTCAGCCCGACAGCCTTGCTCCCTCCCCGTCGCTCTAGGTTTGCAGGCAACATGGAGAGGCAGCAGACGGACAACCTGCTCAGATCCCACGCCAGCGGAACCTACCTGATCAGAGAGCGGCCGGCGGAGGCCGAGCGCTTCGCCATCAGCATCAAGTACGTGCTGGAGCCGGCGGCCGCGGGGACCCGCCCCCACGCCACTCTGAGCCTCAGAGCCCACATCCCTCCCGGTCTGGCGCTTGTGGGGTTGGGGCGGCCGTGGAATGCATTGTCCAGACCTAGACACGTTTGCGGTGAAAGGCTGTCCTTGGGTCTGCACGCCCAGCTGGCCCGGGCTGCGTGAACGGCCCTGGCTGCCGATGGCCCAGACGTTTCCAGGTTACGGGGACCAGACAAGCCCAGTGACCAGAGCGGGGCAGGGATACTGTGAGGGGCAGGGACTTTTCAGCGGCCTCACAGGTGGGCCTCAGAGAGCACAGGGAGGTCACACAGTGGCCGTCTTGCAGCTTTGCAGTGGTCTACAGTCTGGGTGCCCTCCTGCCCAGAAGCTGCCCCCTTGTGGGTTTGCTGTCACCTCTCCGAGAGACAGAATCTGAAAGGTGTGGTTGGGCACCACTGGCATAGGACGCCCACTGGACAGGCCGACGGGCCACAGGTGAAGAGTGGATTTCGGTCTGCTTCCCCTTGATGGGTCAAGAGCCCCAAGCAGGCCGGTGTCGTACCAACCTTGCATTCCTGGGCAGTCCCATTTAGCTGTGGTGAAAAGTCCTTTTTATGAGCTTGGCTTGTGTACACGTAGGTGTGGGGCTCGGGACTGAGGCCTTGCAGGCTGAGCTGGGACTTTGGAGTTCAGACAGGCAAGGGGGCCGACAGACGGACAGAAGCAGTGGGAGCCCGGCCCGGCCCGGGTGGGGTGCGGGGGGCCGAAAGGAAGCAGCCCGGAGCATAAGGTGTGAGCCGGGGGCTGGGCCGTGTGGCCCGTGCAGTGACCGGCCCATGTTCTCACAGGTTCAACGACGAGGTGAAGCACATCAAGGTGGTGGAGAAAGACAGCTGGGTCCACATCACGGAAGCGAAGAAATTTGAAAGCCTCTTGGTACGTGATTGGGTGGCCCATCGGCCTGGGTCCCACCGCAGCCGCACCGAGGAGGAGCAGCCTCTGCACCCCGCGCTTCGGGACGTTAGGGCCTCCCTGCAGCCCCCGAGTCAGGACTGCCCCCCAGGCCCCCCAGAGCCAGGCGTGTTGACCACAGTGAGCAGTGAGGCGGGGTTGCGGCCGCCGGCCCCCAGCATTGCAGCAGCTGTTCCCGCCGATCCTCACCCCGGAGCCAGAAGCCTCGCCCGGGCTGGCTTCCAGCACCCCTTCCCCTGCGCCCCTCCGCCTGCCCACGCCGCAGCGTCACAGCCCAGCCCGAGTGCGGCAACGACAGTCCCTTGGATACCCCTCTCCCCGCTACAAGCGGTCCATGTCCCGGGCCCACTGGACAGGAGTCCAGCTCTCGGACCCGCAGCGGCCACAGAGAAGCAGAGTGAAACAGGAAGTCCCCACAACGACCCTGCCCCCAGGAAAACAGCCCCACCCCCTCCCAGGAAAGTGTCGCTGTGGCTTATGTGTACGGCTCTCAAACCAAACCCCCGGCCGGCCTGTCCGCCCCCGCCCTGCTCATCAGCCGTGCAATTGCGTCCGAACAGCCCTCTGTCCTGGCTGCGCCGGGTGGCGCTCAGCCACTGGGATAAGCTCTCCTCCCAGAAGCGCTTCCTGGGCGGACACTGGGGGGGAGGGGGTCCCGCTTTTCTCCGGGAGAGAGTTGCAGGGAGCTTCCCTGTCCCCAGTCCCAGCGTTTCACTGACTTTTCCTTTAGACACACTGGGGAGAGGAATTGCTGGACCAAAGTCTTTGGGAGACTGACCACCCCCGCGGGGCCTCGTGCTGGGCAGAGGGGGCGGGGAGTTCTCGAGGGTGCAGGAGGGGAGGCCTGCCTGGAGGCGGCGGCAGTCAGTGAGCATGCGTGTCCTGCAGGAGCTGGTGGAGTACTACCAGTGCCACTCTCTCAAAGAGAGCTTCAAGCAGCTGGACACCACGCTCAAGTACCCCTACAAGTCACGGGAACGCACAGCGTCCAGGGCCTCCAGCCGCTCCCCAGGTAACGCCCACGCCCAGCTGGCACACAGTGCTGCCCTGGAGGGGCCATGCTGCCCCAGTTCCCACGGCCCAGGCCCCGCTGCCCACCTGCCCTCCAGGAAGGCTTTCTGTGGGCCACACCGACCTGGGCCAGGAGCCCGTTCCCGATTCCCATCCCCGGGAGTGGCGGCCCTGGCACCCCCAGCCCATCACGAGCACCTTGCCAAGCCGGGGTGCCCTGGTGGTCTCAGGTGACAGGTGAGGGATCCAGCTCCAATCTTGGTGCCTTTGCCCAGAGGTCAGTGAGAGGAGAGAATAGGGTGGGTCCCACCTGTCCTCAGGTCCCTCCCTGGGCCCTAGCCCCCCAGGGGCCCCACTGTGAGGAAGCAGGCCCAGCACCTCCAGCCCAGGCCAGGGGGCCGCCTGGGGTCGGACAGGTAGGCCCAGATCACATGGCTCCCGGCCCAGGACTCCCTGAGCCAGCCCGCTGCCTCCAGCCCGCAGGGCCTGCAGAACCATGGTCCCGCCCAGGCAGGAGATGGGGGGGGGGGGCGGGCCTGTAGTGAGCCCCCGCTGTGTCCTTGGCAAGGGGCTCGGCTCCTGGCACACGTCAGTCTGCGTGTAGGCCCACCCCCGGGAGGAGATGGTTCTGACTTGCTCTCTAGGGGGCAGTTGCGGAGCGGTGGCCTTGGCCGTCCCTCGGGCCCTCCGGCACCTGGGCGCAGCCTGGGCCCCGTCCCGCCTGCCCCGTGCGCTGCGGGTCTGCGTGGACGCTCCTCCGCCCCCTTTCACGTTCTCTCTCGCCTCTTTGCAGCCTCCTGTGCCTCCTACAACTTTTCTTTTCTCAGTCCTCAGGGCCTCAGCTCTGCTTCTCAGGGCTCCTCCGCTCCCTTCTGGTCAGGTACCGCTGCCCTCGGGGAGTGGGGGGCCCGCAGCCCCTGCCTGCAGGCGTCCTCCGGGGTGCGGGCTGCGGGCACGCCTGCCTGGCCCTGTGTCCTCGCTGCTGTCCCCTTTCCTCACGCTCGGCCCGATGGCCGCTCCCAGCTTCTCGGCCGTCCACCCTCCGTGGCTCTCGGAGAGCTTTGCCTCTGGTAGCGGACCCAGGCGGGCCCCACTCAGGGCTGCAGGCCTTGTGGGATGGGGGCGGGGGAGGGGGGTGGAGTCTCAGTGGCCCTGGCCCCACAGCCCCCGCTGCCAGAGTCAGAGCCTCCCCGGCTGCTGTGTGCTTCCCCCCGCCACCCTCATTGTCGCTTGTCTGTCAGGACTCCTGGGTCCCAGGCTGAGCTGGTCCAGCGGGGTTTCCAGTTTGGTTTGGGAATCTGGAATTGGGGACGTGAGGGAGGTGGACGCCATGCTCTGGGGTCCCATCCGGGTACCTGGCAGAGTGAAGGCTGGGATCCGGGTCGCGGTCATTCAGCTGATCCCTGGCCTGTGACACCCATGCACTGGGCACACAGGAAGGCCTCACGGGCGCCGTGATGGTCAGAGCACTGGTACCTGCTGACCCCCATGAGGGCACAGTCCCTGCCTGTGATGCCCCCATGTGGGCGGTGACCACTCCCATTCCCTTCCCGGGGATCTCAGACCATGCTGCGGAGTCGGCTCCCACAGGGGCCCTGGCACTAGGGCCTGGGCTGACCCTTTAGAACCTTATGCCATCGGGCCCCCTCCACCGGGCATAGGGCCTGACACCTGGGGAGAGAGACCCAGCTCGGCCCATGGGTGCCCCTGCCCTGGCTGGGCCCCGCCCCACAGCTCTGTGACGCTGCCCGTCTCCCCAACAGTGTTCACGCCCCGTGTCATCGGCACGGCGGTGGCCAGGTACAACTTTGCCGCCCGGGACATGAGGGAGCTGTCTCTGCGCGAAGGCGACGTGGTGAAGATCTATAGCCGCATCGGCGGGGACCAGGGCTGGTGGCGGGGCGAGACGAACGGCCGGGTGAGTGGCCGCCCCTGCCCTGCCTGGCCTCCCGAGAGACCACCCGAAATAGCCCTTTGACTGCTCCCCGGACACCACAGGACCTGGCCGCCTCTGGCTGCCCACCCCCGTTTTGGGGAAGGTGTTGTCATGTATCTTAATTGTAACCCTGTGAGTCATGACTTCTGATTTAGGTAGCTGGTGCTCACGTAGATTCCCTGTTCCCAGGCTCCCAGCTCGTCCCGGGGTCGCATCTCCACCCAAGGCCGTGTTCCTGCCGCCCGCACTTCCTCTGCTTAGGGTGGAAGGTTCTCCTTGTAACATGTTTATAACTTACTTTGATACAGTTTCAAACTTAAAAGTTGTGGTAGTTCAGAGAACCAGTGTGCTCAGATTCACCAGTTAGGAAGGACTTGTCCATTTGCTTGATCATTTGTGCGCGCTCTCTCTCTCTCTCTCTCTCTCTCTCTCTCTCTCTCTGTTCATGCATACAACACACACTTGTGTTTTTCTGAACCATTTCAGAATCCATTGCAAACATATCCCTTTATCCCTAAACACTCCAGTGTGTATTTTGTAAGATCAAGGACATTCCCCTTTGCTATAAATAATGACCTAAGCCCGGCCAGTGTGGCTCAGTGGACTGAGTGTTGTCCCATGAACTGAGAGGTCCTGGTTCAATTGCTGGTCAGGGCACAGCCCGGGTTGCGGGCTTGATCCCCAGTAGGGGGCGTGCAGGAGGCAGCCAATCGATGTATCTCTCTCACATTGATGTTTCTATCTCTCCCCCTCTCTCTAAAAAATCAATAAAAACATATTTAAAAATAAAAATAAACAAATGATGACCTAACCCACACTTCATACTCAAACTTTACCAGTTGTCCCAATAGGGTCTTTTCTAGGTATTTAAATCCAGGACCATGACTTGCATTAACTGGCCATGACCTTCAACTCACTTTTGTCTGGAACAGTTCCTCAGCCCTTCTCTGCCTTACATGACTTAGACATTTTTGAAGAGTATGGGGCAGTTACTTTTGTAGACTATCAGTAGAGTTTGTCTGATATTTCTTCATGATGAGATAGAGGTTCTCCATTTTCGGGGACACCCCAATGAGATGCTGTATCATTTTCAGTGCTTCCTCTCCATAGTGTATCCCATGGTTGTGATAGACTTTGGTCCCTTGGTTAGGGTGGTATTTCTCCACTGCAAAGTTACCGTAATTAATATGTAATCTGCAGAGTACTACTTTGAAATCAGATCCATAACCTGTCCCACATCAAACTTTCACCTACTCGTTGTATCCTTCATTGATGAATATTTGTCTAGTCAACTATTTCTATCATGGTTGAAGAATAGTGACATTGTTTCTTCTTCATTTCCTATTGGGCATTCTACTCTAAGGACAATCTTTCTCTTGTACCCTCGGTCATTCTCCCCCAGAAATCACTCACTTCTCCAAAGGGACCTACCTCCTTTTTGGGGGCAACTGCGTTGAGTTCACCTTTGAAGGGTATTTTCATGGGGGATAGAATTCTCGGCCGTGAGATGTCTTATTTCAGCTCTCTGATGATTCCATTGTCACCTGGCCTCCAACATTTCTGTAGAAAAATTAGTCGATCTACTTAATGTTATCCTTGTAGGGAATATCTACATATTTCCTGCTGGGATATATGTTTTTTTAAATGTCTTTGTTTTTCATCAGTTGTCCTACAGTGTGCCTAGACGTGGTTTCCTCAGTGTTCAAACTGCCTGAGGTTTGTAGAGATTATTTCATCTGTGGCCTGTTGCCTTTCATCAGTTTGGGAAATTTCTTCTGATGATGTGTCTGCCCCATCTCCTTCTAGGGCTCCAGTCACATGGTTGTTAGGCCTTTTTACCATGGCCTGTATCTCCTCACCGTTTTATGTGTTTTCCATCCAGTGATTTCCCATTGGCGCGTCTTCCAATGTATTAGTCTTCTCTTCTGCTACATCTAACCCATTGTTAAATCCCTCTACTGGATTCTTTTTTTTTTTAATCCTCACCTGAGGACATTTTTGGGTTTTTTGGGGGTTTTTTTTTGCATTTATCTTCAGATAGAGCAGGAGGGAGAAAGAGAGGAAGAGAGAGACACATCGACTGGTCGCCACCCACATGACCCCAACCGGGGCTGGGGACAAACTGCAACCGAGGTACATACCCTTAGTGGGAACTGAACCCGGGTCTCTCTGGACCGCAGGCTGACGCTGAAACTGCTGAGCCAAACCAGCCAGGGCTCTACTGGATTCTTAATTGCAGTCATATTTCTTCAGTTCTGGGTTTTCTATTTGATGTCTGAGTTCAAGAGTCTGTGAACATTTTCTGGTTTTTCATCAGTTTTCTGACACATGCAAGTTAGAGTTATTTACATTCCTGAAGATCAAGTCCAATATCTGGATGAACTGGAGGTTGGTTTCTGCTGTCTGCATTTATCTCAGTTTCTGTCACTTGATCCTGATCGAATGCTGAGCTTGTGTATAAAACACCGTAGAGCCTCTGGATAATGCTATTTTCCTCCAGAGGGGATTTAAATTTTTATTTTTTTTTCTGATTGGCAGCTAGGGAGAGAGCAAGTTCATCTTAAACAGCTCAGGGCTGATATATTTCGGGGTCACACCTACTCCTGGGCCACAGCTCCGCCAGGCTCTTAGCCTCTTTTTCCAGGGCTGGCTTAGCCTTTTGAAGGATCCTGCATCTCCATAAGCCTGTATTCACTCTCCCCCAACACACACACACACACACACACACACACACACACACAGAGTTACGTGATTCTGCCATCTTTTTCAGATTGGCTGGTTTCCTTCAACATATGTAGAAGAAGAGGGTGTCCAGTGATGGCAAGAATACGGACAGGACTTGAGAATTTTCTTGGAATGGGTGTCAGAGCCGTCTGACGTCCACCTCCAGCTCCGAGACCCAGAGAGGGAAATGCCTGCCGACCTTCCAGTCTTCAACAGTCCGTAGGGATGGGGGGGTGTTCAAAGTCCTAAACGCAAACCGTCCCATCAGTCCGCCCTTGGTGGCCTGTTCTGAGTTCACCACTTGTACATAGAGGAAATCCGGGCCAGCCCCGCTGTGGCTGCCCCCACAGAGCGTCGAGGAAGGGGGCACCAGCATTCAAGCCGCTGAGGCCAGAGCTCATCCTGCCCCTGCCTTGTCAAGACGGCATTCATAAGCCTGAGTGTGAATGGCAGATGCTGTCTCAGGGAGGCTGGGGACAGCAGAGGGGACTTTCCCCCACCCTTTCTGCTCAGCCCCTGGACTCTCAGCCCGCCTGCTTCCTGCTGCTTCCAGGGGTGACTCAGGCCTTGGGAGGCAGGAGGGCCTCTGTGCAGCCCCAGCGTGGGCGTAGGAGAGCGCATTGCAAGGGGCCTGGCAGGCCCCTTGACCTCATGTCCCTCTGCACCAGGGGCATGCAGAGACCCCAGGGCAGGTCCCTCTCTCGGGAGGGAGCCCTGGGAATGAGGAAGTTGCTGAACCTACTCCCTGGTCAATGGTACTGTCTTTGCCCTGAATCCCAGGTTGTCTGTCCTGCCCTGCTGCCAGGAGACATCGTTTGTAAAGCCCGACATGGGCGGGAAGAACACGGGGTTTCCCCTCACCCTGTCCCTGCTGCTCACATTCCTGTCCAGGAGGAGGCCCCAGCGCTCCTGTGCAGGGCCTTCTGGGTCTCTCGTGTCCTGCAAGGTGGTCCCTGAGGGTCCCCAGCCTTTGCACAGGATATTGGCTCTTGCCCTTGGCAGGTCTTCCTTCCAAGAACTCCATAGCTCGTGAACTGGGCCTGTGGCCAGCCCAGAATAAGTGCTCTTGGGGGTGGCTCCACCCCTGCAATGCCCCCTCCTGACTTCTCCTGGCCTGGACCACTGGCTGGCTTGGCCAGACCCTGTTTTCTCTGCCTGGGTGTTGCATGAGACCTAGTGACACTGTCCCTCCGAGCTCTGTGCCAACACTTCTGGTGGGACCTGGGCTTCCTGTGTTCATGCCTCCCCTTGGTGAGCTGCACCGCCCAGTGCCGGGAACGGGGCCAAGCAGGGCCTCGTTTGCCACGCTGCACCTTGGGGCTCCGCAGGGGACAGCTCGTAGCCTGCAGGCTGGGGTCCCACAGTAGCACACTGGCATGGGGGGGCGTGGGAGGGGCCCACATTGGTGAGTAGGAGAAGAGAGAGGCTTGCGGAGTGAGCTGAACAGTCGCTGTTGGGGGTGGAGAGCAGTGGGGGAAGACTCGGCCTTGGAGGGGGCAGACCCGGATCCCCGACGTTAGGGCACACCCAGCACTTTGCGCATGGCCCGGGCTCAGCTGGCCCTGCTGCGAACCCGGGATGGGAGGGGAGAAAACCAGCCAGTCCCTTTTGTTTACTGCTGTCAGAAAGGTTTTGTTTTTTTCTGTTGTTGTTGGTTTGTGTTTTGTTGGGCTCAGTTTGTAATTATTTCGTCCGAAGCTCCCATTGTATGTCTGTGAATAACAAGGAAGAGATTTTACAAGAGCAAGGAGAGGATTCTATCGGAGGCCATCATGAAGCAGGGCCCCGGGATCCTGAAGGACACGGAGAGGACGGCATCTGGAGTCCTGGTTCTTGTGACTGTTCTGTTTGTTTGCTTGAAATGCGGATTTGGTTTGGTTGGTGTTTGCACTGCTGGGGCCAGAGGGAGAAGGGCCAGGCACAGGCAGAGATGCTGGTGTTTCCACAGGAGACGGGGTGCCCCCTGGAGGGGGTTGCAGACCTGGGGCCTGAGATGAGCTGTGAACACAGGAGCCCAATGCTTGTGGGTCAGGGGTCTGGGGTCCTGCAGCTGGAGGCGGCCCCAAATGGAACACAAACTGTACATTTGCCAATAGGTTGTTTCAGACCACAGTTTTTACTGCAAATAAACCTAAGTTCTTTCCTTTGGGAGTGGCTGACCTTTTGTGCCGGGAGGAGGGTGTGGGTGGATTTTTCCCTCTCCAGCAGGGTCTGCTCCACCCAGACACTGTCAGCCCAGGGGACATGTCCGGGTCAGATGCAGGCCTTGGGGTGGCCCAGCCTCAGGCAGAGACCGGGGTCCGAGGAGATACTGATCCAGGGCCACCAGCCAGGTGCCCCTCCCTGCGGGCACAGTGCCAGAGCTTCCCAGGCAGCATCCTGCAGAATTGTCCAGCTGCCACCAGAGGTCGGCTCCTGTCTTCCCATCTGGATGGACTCAAGCCTCTGCCCCGCCCGCAGCATGCCCTTCACCTCCTGAGCCCGTTTATGTGTCAGAGATAAAATGAGCACTCTCTCCTGAGCCGGGGCTGTGGCCTAGGACAGAGGGAGAGTCGTAACAGAGATTTCTTTCTCCCTCATGGGGAGACAGTCAGAGGCCGTGGTCTAGGGGTGGCTTTTGAGCCCTCATCCCAATGGCTCCTCCCACTTTCAACATGTACTTCCCTCCTGAGGATCATGGCCCAAGGTGGCTGCTGGAGCTCCTGCCATCAAGGCCATGGGCCGAGCAGAGGTTGGCACAGCATGCCCCCTTCCCTCACCCAGAGCCTGGGCACTGGCCACTGCTGGCTGCGGCGGAGACTGGACCACCTAGAGGACACTGGGCCCTGTTACTGAAGGGACAGGAGCGTGGCTGGTGGGGTGGGCGTGAGGGTCAGTTTACCGGAAAGGGGACCTGTGCCTGAGCGGCTCTGCCCTGAACTGGCCGGTTGTGTGTGGGTCTTGACTTCTTGCAGGAAAAGTCTCACAACGCCAGTCCAGGTGACTTTCAGAGGACGTTATGAGAGCTGGGGACAGTGGAACACGGCAGGGCTGGGGAATGAGCCTAGGTGGGGCTGCTTGGCTCACTGGGGACAGGGTCAGGGGGTTTGCCTGGGATGAACTGCCACCACCCATTGCTGCCCTGGGTACAGGGGTCCCTCAGAGTTTAGGAGGTGCATGCCTGTGGGGAAAGAAGGTGGGTGGCAGGGGGCAAGGGCATGCTGGGACCTTTGTTTTGAAGGGTTTCTAAAGTCTGGGTGTTTCGGGAAGGATCTCAGTAGAATATTCATCAGCTTTATGCTGACGCACCAAAATGAGATTTATTCTCTTAACTTCATCTGTCCTGGGTGTGGTTGGCAAATGGCACTGATTGGGTATCTGCCTCCTGTCTTTACCTCTGGCTGGAGAGGAGGGCGAGCCGTCTGCTCAGGAGTCCCTGGCTCAGGGGAGAGGGGGTGCCAGGTGCTTCACGCTGCTGTTTGACGTCCGCCTCCGTCCCCCCTGGTGCTCGGCTGGGGGTCAGGCTTTGTCACCAAGGAGGGAAGCGGGTGCGGACGTTTGGTGACACGGGGGCGTCCCTGAGGACTGGATGGGGGTCTGTTCTGGGGCGGCCCCCCTCTGAAAGGATTGTTCAGGCCTGAGCTCCCACACGGCTCCCCGAGAGCCAGCTTTCACCCAGGGGAGGGAAAGGCCGGGCACCCGACCAGCGGCTGGCACCTCTCGGCTGCCCTGAGCAGGGCCCAGCGAGCCTGGGTGGCCCTGGAGGGAGTCCTGCGGAGGGGCAGACGGCATGGTGGCTCAGGGGAAGCTGCCGCCGGGGGTGACCGGGCACGCTGGGGCTGGGAGGGCATCAGGGCCTCTGCTGTGGGTCCAGACCCCGGAAGGATGGGCGCCCGCCTGTCCGAGGACCGGCGTGTGGACGGGTGGAGTCTGCAGGGATGAGCGGGTTTGCCTGCCCGGGTCACCCGGGACACGAGGCGGATTGGAGCCGGCTGCCCCGGGCACCCAGATATCAGGGCCTGGGAAGCCACCGTGTCCAGCGCTTTAGAGACGCCCCCTGGGTGAAAGACCGAAACCACCCTTCTCTGAGGTGCCCTGGGCAGCCTGTCCATCCCTGAGCACGCCCTGCAAACAGGACTCCCAACCAGAATCCGCAGCTGAGCTAGGGAGGAGGGGCCACCCCAGAAAGGGGAGGCACAAAGCCAGAGCAGATACCGGGGAGCCCGGGCCGGGGCAGCCCCCAGGGTCTCGGCCCCCCGGGGTCGAGACCCGGGTTCTAACACTCACGGCTACAGGCCCTCGGAGGCCAGATGCTGCTGGGCCCTGCATGAAGCTGGCATCTCAGAGGACTTCGTGAGAAGGACATTCTAATACGTGGATAAAAGAAACTCACAGAACAGCCCGGCCGGTGTGGCTCTGGTTGAGCACCTCCTGTGCACCGAGAGGTCGCCGGTTCGATTCCCGGTCAGGACACAGGCCCAGGTTGTGGGCCCGATTTCCAGTGGGGGACACGCAGGAGGTGGCCAGTTGATGTTCTCTCTCATCAATGTTTGTTTCTCCCTCTCCCTCCCTCTCTCTATGATCAATAAAGAAAAAATTTTTTTTTTTATCCTCACCCGAGGACATTTTTCGATATTTTGTTCAGATAGAGTGAGAGGGAGAGAGAGAGAGAGAAACATTGACGTGAGAGCGACCCATCGAGTGGTTGCCACCCACACGACCCAACCAGGGCCGGGGACAAACTGCAACCGAGGTACGTGCCCTTAGCGGGAACCGAACCCGGGTCTCTCCGGACCACAGGCCAACGCTCTAACCGCTGAGCCAAACCAGCCAGGGCCAGAAAATTTTTTTAAAAATTCACGGAACAGGATGAATATTTTAGTGTGATTTTTAAATGTATTTATTTGTTATTTTTTAATTGACTTTAGAGAGGGAGGAAGGGAAGGAGAAACATCAGTGTGAGAGGAAAACATCCATCGGTTGCCTCCTGTGCGAACCCCGAGGGAGGATCAAATCCACGGCCTTCCTGTGCACAGGCCGGCGCTCCAGCCGGCTGAGCCGCACTGGTCAGGGATTTTTTTTTTTATCCTCACCCGAGGACATTTTTGCATTTATCTTCAGATAGAGCGGGAAGGAGAGAGAGAGAGAAATATTAATGTGAGAGAGGCACATCGACTGGCTGCCACCCACACAACCCCAACCGAGGCTGGGGACAAACTGCAACCGAGGTACGTGCCCTTGACCGGAACCAAACTCTTGACTCTGGTCTGTGGGCTGACACTCTAACTGCTGAGCCAAACCGGCCAGGGCCTGAAGGATCTTCTACAGGAAGTTCTCAAGGAACTCCAGGCGGAAGGAAAATGGTGAAGATGTGGATGCGTGAAACACCGAGAGTAAAAATAAAGGGATATGATGTGATTAGAACAGGATTGGGGTCCATACACCCGACAACAGCATCCTAAGCGTTGGGGGAGGGGTGACCTGCACACAGAATGCGTTGTTGTTTAGAAGGAGGAAGAGGTAGTCACTTTGGGAACCGTGTCCTTTTGCCGTGTGACACACTCCTGTGGGTCAGAGTCTGGGCACAGCTTCCCTGGTGCCTCCGCTCAGGGTCTGCAGAGGCTGTGACCAGGTGACAGCCGGGCTGGGCTCCCATCTGGAGGGGTAATGGGAGTGTCCTCATCCACACTTGCTGAGGCTGTTAGCAGAACTCCTGTCCTTGCTGGTGTTGACTGAGGCCTGCGGAGCCCAAGGTGCGAGTCCCAGTGGGGGTCCACCTCCCTGTTAGTCTTAGGATCCCCTCCTGGGGACAATCTGTCCCTGAATCCGGCTCCCCAAGGGTGTCATACTCACAAGTGGCCACCAGGGGGAGTGCTTCCTGCGAAGTTGTCAGCCTCTTGGGGTTGCTGACTGCTGTCCCTGCCAGACCACTGTTCACTGGTTGCTCCGCCACCACCAGGGTCCCCTCTGGGGGTGCTCCTGCCCCTGGAGCTGGAGGGACACAGCCGTGTCCTCTGCCATCACCACCCCAGTGTCTGGGGTCCAGGGCAGGGGTCAGAGGCAAAGTGGCAGAGTGGAGACTGGCCAGCTGGGCAAAATGGGCCCCATTGAAAGATGTTTGGCTAGGAGGTGGGCTCAGGGGGAAGCTTGGAAGTAGGATTTTTATAGGAAATCTCCGGGTGCCTCCTTCAAACGTAAACACAGCCAGGGAGCCAGCGTGAGCCTGGAGGGTTTGGCTGACTGAGCCGGCGCAGGGTGGTGTTTGTGGGGTCCTCTGCCCTTGGCTGCTGCTTCTCCATCACGCCCTCCCAACACCCTCACTGGGAGGGGACCTGCACCCATGCCA